CCTTTTCATTTTATGGGTCCTTTTCAGAGGCAGCCATCTGGCTTCCTGTGGTTCTAGTGCCAAAAGGTCGGGCGCCTGCTTAACCAAACACGCACGCACACACACACAGACACACACACACACTCACACACAGACACACAGCCCACACACTCACACACCACACACAAACACACACACACATACACACACACACTCACACACACTCACACAGACCCTACCCACTCCAGACTCCTTGCAGCCTGGCCACAAGAAACTTTACTCCAGGAAATGGCAGCTCCCCTCTTCCCACACAGTAAGATTAAAACCCAGGCCCTGGGTCAACAGATAGGTCTTGCCAAAGGACTTCTTGGGGTCACTCATAGGCAGTCTTCCATTTTCTCACTTTTTCTCTGTTTACAACCTCCATGCCTGTCCCTTATCTATCTGAACACTCTGTACCAGGAATGTCTCTGAATCTTGCCAAGTTTGTCCAACACTCCTCCTCCTCTGATGGATCTCTTGAAATCCCTACTCCCCCACTAAGTTTTCTTTTTCCCTTTTCTCCTTGATTAAAAAGAAACAAGCTGCAAATACTTCCTTATACCACAGTTCAGCATCGCCTAAGGGCACCACATGGTATGACACTGGTCTAAAATGTTGGTGCTTAAAATATTTGTTGATTGTTAATGTGTTCTCTTTCTTTCCCCCCTCTCCCTCATTCTTTCTCTTCCTCCCTCCCTCTCCCTCTTTCTCTTTCCCCTCTTTCCTTCCTCTTTTCCTCACTTCTTTTCCCCCTCCCTCCTCTGTCTCCCCCTTCTCTTCCCTCCTCTCTTCCTTCTGTCTCCCCTTCTCTCACCCCCTCTCTCATCCCTCTTTCTCACTCTTTCCTCTTCTCTTCCCCTTCTCCTTCTGTCTCCTCCTTCTCTTCCCCCTGCCCTCTCTCTCTCTTCTCTTTCCTGTTTTCTTCTCCTCTCTCTTCTTTCTATCTGCCTCCCCCCCAACGCCACTGCATAGCATAGTATAGTAAGTAGGGTCCTGGACTAGACATCAGGTATTCTTGGGTTCCACTACTACCACAGACAATTGCTGTTTGCTTTGTGACTTTGGGCAAGTCACTTAGACTCTCTGAGCCTCAGTTTCCCTGTCAGTAAAACTGAGGTAATAATAACACCTACCTTGTAGGGCTACTTTGACTATCAAATGAGGTAACAAATGAATGAATTAAAAAGTATTTATTGTAGACATACTATATACAAAGCACCCATGCTAAGCACTAGGGATACAAACAGAAAAGTAGAGTCGATCCCCAGCCCTCAAGGGGCTCACATTCTAATAGCGGAGAGAATACATTTGGGAGGTCTCATCTACAAGTCATATAATGCTTGTAAAGCCTTTATAAACCTTTAGGGCTGTATAAATGTTACTTATTATTATGTCAAATGAGTAGGTTGGACTGGATGGCTTATGAGGCAGCAGGTGGTGCCCTGGGTAGAACATTGGACTTGAAGTTAGGATGACCTGAGTTTGAATCCTGCTTCAGACACCGACTAGCTGCGTGATCCTGGTCAAAGCATTTAACCTCTCAGCCTCAATTTTCTCATCTATAAAATGGGAATAATGCTAGTCCTTACCTGCCAGGGTTGTTGTGAGGAGTAAATGAGGTAACCTATATAAGGTGCTTTGTTAATCTTAAGATACTATATAAAGAAATGCTAACTGTAGATCTAGGAACTTATGAGCCTATGTGAAATTGCCATTTGTTTTTGGACCTGAGCGTTTATCAGTGCAGGGACCTCCCTGTACCAATGCAGATGGATACTTTTCTCCAACACAGTTTTAAAGAGCTGCCCTTAGGGTCTTAGGATAGAGGTAAAGTGACTTTTCCAGGGTCACATGGCCATTATGTGTCCTAGGTAGGCCTTGAATCTTGGTCTTTCTGACTCCAAGGCTGTCCTTCTATCTAACACATGACTCTGACCAAGACACGGGAGTGAAACATCCAGAATTGCATTATGAAAATGGAAAGTAGTGCTCAACATCTCTACTATCTGTCCCCTTCTCTCCATCATGTGGTCAACATCCCAGGTTAGTCCTACATCATTTTCTGCCTGAAATACTTCAGGAGCACCCTGGTTCTAGGCTTTCCCCTCTCCAATCCATCCTCCATAAAGCTACCCCTAGACTCTTCCTAAAGTACAGGCAGACTGTTTCACTCCCTTACCTAACAAGCTTCATTGACTCCTATTCCTCCTGGATAAAATACTAATTCTTCAATTTGAAGTTTAGAACCTTTTATAGTCTGGCTCCAGAGTACTTTCCCAGACTTATTTCATATTAGTCCCTTCCATGCAATATCTGTTTCAACTAAACTGGATAATGATATAGTATTTATAAAGCACAGGCACATAGTAGGTGCTTAATAAATGCACGTTCTCTTCCATTTCCCTTTAAACTGGCCTATTTACTGTTCCTCAAACTCATCATTCCATTTACCACCATCGTACGTTTGCACAGGTGATTCCATACTCCTAGAACACCCTTTCTCTTTAATTCTAGCCTTAGCATCCTTGTCTCTCTTCAGGCTTGTCTGAAGAGCCCCTTCCTGAAGGAAGCCCTTCTTTATGCTCTCCCTAGTCTTAGTGTTTTCTCCTTCCTCAAATGACCTTGTACTTACTTAACTGTGTAAAAGCCCCCAGAAGAATGTAATCTCCTTTCAGGGGCTGTTTTTCATTTCCGTATTGTATTTCCAGGGCCTGCTTAGCACGGTGCCATGTATATGGTAGCCACTAAATAAAGGCTTGCTGGATTTAGTTGAATTAAAGTAAATTAGAACTAGAGCTGGAACTTACTTCAGAGCTAACAGCCTCTTTGACCCCCTGCTTGGTATTATCTCTGCAGACTCTGAGGGTCTGTTATTGATGGTTTCTGGTGCCCATTGCAGTTTGTAAGGTACTCTACTAGTGGAAGGGTCAGTAAATGAACAAGCATTTATTAAGCACCAACTATATGCCAGGTGCTCTGCTAAGTACTAGGAGAATTTATTTAGTTATAGGTAGACAGTTTAAGAGAATTGAGTAATGAACCTGACCACTAACTACCTGTGTAGTCTAAGCTAGTCACTTTAATCTCTCTGGGCCTCAGTTTCCCTCCTTTTAAAAATGAGGATAGGGAACGCAATGATTATATAGATTGGCCCTTCAGCATCCTCTGTGTAGCATAGAGGATAGAACACTGTACTTGCAGTCAAAAAGAACTGAATTTGACTCTCACCTCACTTAACAGATGTGCAACCACAGACAAATCACTTAGTCTCTCTTCATTTGTAAAATGAGGATAATGCTAGCATCTGCCTCACAGGATTTTTAGGTGGATCGAATGAGATAATGCATGTAAAGTGCTCTGAAAACTTTAAAATATTATATAAATGTCAGTTATTATTACCTCGTTGACAGTGGTGTGCCCCAGGCATATGCTTGGTTGGTGTCCCAGGGGACACTTGAGATGCTTCAGTAGCAATTGTACTCCAGACTTGGATCTTTTCTGGCTTTCGACAAACCTACAGAAAAGCAGGCTTCCAGTCAACTAATTAATCAATTAGTTAATTAGCTGATGATTTCTAAAGTCCCTTCCAACTAGAAAGCTATGATCCTTTTTGAACCATTAAGAGAGTGTAGTGCATAACTTGACCAACAGGTGGTGGTACAATCAAACCACCAGCCAAATAGTGTCCAGATAAAGGATAGCCCCCTCTCCTGTTGCTGGTATTGCCAATTCGGTTGCCCTGGCTAGCTGTATTTGAAACAGTATGTGGGAAAAGAAACGAACTATCTCTTTGCATTCATTGTCTTTTAGCAATGTCTGCCATAGATAGACAAACAGATACAGATATAGATGTATGTACATATGTATATGTATGACATATACATATCTGTATATGTGTGTGTATATGTACACCCCATATATCCATATATGCATGTATGTGTATATATGTTTTTGTTGTTATTGAGATGTTTCAGTCATGTCTGACTCTTCATGACCCTACCTGGAGTTTTCTTGGCAAGGATACTATAGTGGTTTGCCATTTCCTTCTCCAGCTCATTTTACAGGTGTGAAAACAGGCAATCAGGGTTAAGTGACTTGCCCAGGGTCATACAGCTAGTAAGTGTCTGAGGCTAGATTTGAGCTCAGGAAGATGAGTCTTTCTGACTTTAGACCTGGTACTCTAACCACTGGGCCACTTAGCTGTCCCATATATCTGTATATATATATATATGTATATATATGTATACATATGTATGTATATATGCATAAATTTGTATACATGTGCATGTCTATATATGTGTTTATATATAATGTACACACATATATGCCTATATATTTATATGTGTGTCTGTCTGTCTGTCTATCTATCTAGTGTTCCGGGCACGTGGGACTCCCTAGATATGGATGGGTTCTGTAGGTTGTCTGTGAATTTGCATGCCATAATCTGAACAACAGGTATTTTTCATGAGCTTGGTTTTCCTGACTCTCTTCTTCTGTCACAATGACTGTGCCCAGTTCAGCTGAACTTGGTCTAATAAGGTCAAATAGGCTTCACTCTCAATCTCTGCCCTATTCTACTCTCTATTCCTAATATTCTCCTGTGTTCAAAAAATGCCTTGTATATTATATGAACTCAATTAATATTTGGCATTTTGATTTAAATCCCTTGCAGGAATTTACCGATGAATCCTTTTCTTTCCCCCCTGTCCATGTCATCTTTTCTTACCTCCATATTTCCTCTTCTTTCTGTTCCCTCCTTTGTAGACAGTGAAAAGAGTCATAGGGCTTGGGTTCAAATCCTGGTTTTCCTGCTTACTGCCTGTGTGACATTGGACAAGTTGCTTAACTTCACTGGGGCCTCAGTTTCCTCATCCATAAAATGAGGCCATTGGACTAGATGCCCTCTCCTTTAGCCCTAAATCTGTGATCCTTGCCTTCTCTCCCTCAGTCTCATATTCTCCCTCTCATCTCTTCTATAGGAGATCATCACCTCTATCCTGCTAAGTGGGCGGATTGGGCCCAACATCCAGTTGACTGAGTGCTATGGCCTGAGACTGAAACACATGAAATCTGATGAGATCCACTGGCTGCACCCTCAGCTGACGGTGGGAGAGGTGCAGGAGAAGTATGAATGTCTACACGTCGAAGCCGAATGGAGGTAGGAGAGAGAAGCAAATCCCTAGAGCAGAAATGGGCAGCTAGGTGGTACAGTGGATAGAATGCTGGTCCTGGAGTCAGGAAGGCTCATCTTTGTGAGTCCAAATCTGGCCACAAACACCTCTTAGCTGCATGACCCTGGGCAAGTCACTTAATCCCGTTTGACTCAGTTTTCTTATCCGTAAAATGAGCTGGAGAAGGAAATGGCAAACCATTCCAGTATCTTTGCCAAGAAAACCTCAAATGGAATAATGAAGATTAGGACATGATTGAAAATGACAAAACAACAACAGAGTAGAGAGTGTATTGGAGTGGGCTGACTGAAGGCCTAGAGAACTCTCCATCATCCCAGTGCTTTCTCTGAGACTCTGAGATAGTAGATACACCACAGAAAGAGGACCAGCTTGGGAAGCCCTAGTCCAAAAGTGTTCTTCCTTCTCCAGAGACCTAACCTCAGAATCAGAAAGAGGCAGTGTAGTACAATGGGTTTGGACCTGGGTTCAAATCCTGGCTCAGCCATTTATTTTGTGGGCAAATTACTTGACCTCTGGGCTTTACTTTCCTCCAATAAAAAGAGAAAGAATTTGCCTAGATGACCTTAAAAATAGCTAGATTTCTGTATTAATAGCTAGCATTTATATAGAGCTTTAAGGTCTACAAAGCACTTTGTATATGTTAATTCAATTAATCCTTGCAACAAGCCAGGGAGGTAGGTACTGTTGTTATCCCTGTCTTACAGATGAGGACCCAGCCAGTAAGTATCTAAGGCAGAATTTGAATTCAGGACTTCCTGATTCCAAGTCTAACACTCTAACCACTGCGTCACCTAGCTGCCTCAGACGGACTGTCCTTTCCAACTTGAAATCTGTAATCTTGGCTATCTAAATTTAATTTATCCTCTTCATGCCTAGGATAAGACCTGGGTGCAAGTCCTGTCTCTGATACACAATACTTCATTACTGTATGTATCATACACATTCCATCAAATGAGATGACAGGATATAAAGCACTTGGCAAATATCACTAGGTTACTACCTCAGCCTTAAAGCACTAAGGTAGTGCTTTAAATGCTAGCCATCATCATCATCATTGCTACCTGTGTGACCCTAGGTAAATTACTTAATCTCTCAATATACCGGGTGCTCCCTAAGACTATGAGTTGCTGGTAGAGAGGAGTTCCTTTTACCAATGAAATCATAGTTTTGGTCCCAAACCAACCAAAAAAAACACAATAAAAAATGAACTTTACCAAAGCTACTGTGAGGACAATCCCTTATGCAACTCTCTACCATGGCAACCAGTCCATGTTCATGCCTCCAGGGTGTACTGAATACCCCCTGATTCTCCTTGCTTGAGCAATGATACCCCACTTTCTACCCCACAGCTACCAGAGACAGAGTTGAGGTTTTTAAAAATACTTTATTTGCTACCAAAGTTAAAAAGGTGAAAATAAAAAAAAACAAACTTGAGTTTGTTGAGTTTCAGAGCTCTTGTTAAGATTCCCCTGTTCTAACCATAGGGGCATCATCTACTTCTTGAGCCAATTAGCTCCACTCTCATGTAACTAATCTCTTGTCCTGGCCCTGCTGTGTTTTTAGCTGTCCTGCTGCTTGGGAGAAAGACCTCAGCATCCTTTCCCTGGCTTCAGCTCGATCCACTCTGGGTTCCTTTTCCTATTCAAAGACAGGGACCTTTGGGATTCCTTCCATCCAATTCCAAGGTCGGCTCTTTCAGAGACCGTCAGCCCAGTCCTCAACATTAGAAAGGCCCCAGCCATTAACAATAAGGGGAGAGTTCTTCCTCTCATAGCCAAGGCTCACCCTAGGCAGGTGGGAAAAAGAAGAATTCTAGGGAAGTTGAGTAGAGCCCTACCTTCATATCCTCCCATAGTTTCTGTAGATTGAGTTCTGGAAAGCTTGTCTCGGGCTCACCATGAGCCCACTGTTCTCATATAACAGACCTCATAGGAACTTAGGAATATAAATCTAGATCTGGAAGGGACTCAAGATCCATCAAGTCCAACTTCTCATTTGATAATTGAGGAAACTGAAGCTAGTGAGGTTAAATCACTTGCCCAAGGTCACAAAGCTAATGAGCATCAGAAGCAGGATTTGAACCCAAGTCTTTTGACTCCAAAGCCAGTGCTTTTCCCTATGTACCACAATGCCTCCAAACTGGTGATCTGTAACCCAGAAACTTCCTCAGTTGGGAAGATATAAGGACTCTATTGGAACTCTTGAAGGGTACTCAAGATAAAGATAATTAGGTAGCTGTCAGAGAGGCAACATGGCTTAATGAATAAAGTGCTATGAGACCTAGGGTCAAATCTTACCGGAAACACTAAGTGTATGACCCTGAGCAAGTCACTAAAACTCACTGGGCCATAGTCTGTTCATCTGTAAAGTGGGGATGATAATACCATAACATTTACCTCATGAGAGTGTTGTAAGGCTTAAATGAGGTGAAGTATGAAAAGTGATTTGAAAAAATTTAAGTACTTTATGTAGGTTATTATTATTATTACTCTTACTAGTGGTCAGAGAAGCAATCATCATGTAATGGGACAGGTGCTAAAGCAGAATCTGGGAACCTGACTATGTGATTCTATACCCTCTGCCCCACCCCAGTGATCACTGGATGATAAATCTAACCCTGGAAGGTTCCTCAGAGGAGATCCTCATTTTATAGGTGAGAAGACTGAGGCTCAGAGAGGTGAATGACTTGCCCAAAGTCATACTGATAACAAGTGGAAGAGAGAGACTTTGAGCTCAGTTCCTTGGATTCCAAATCCATCACTCTTTCTACCATCCCATGTTGTCTCCCTGGGAGGGAACAGGCTTTGGTTAAGAGCTCAGAGAAAGCCCAGTACAATCCAAAGAGGATCCCTGCATGCCAGGCTCCTTGTCTGCCTCTGCCCCTCCTCTGCTGGCCCCTTTACCCCCTTCAGGCACCAGCTGCCCCACCCCAGACCAGAGGTTCTGAATTTCCTGCCTCAGGTATGACCTGCAGATCCGCTACTTACCAGAGGACTTCATGGAGGCCCTGAAAGAAGATAGAACCACGCTGCTTTACTTTTACCAACAGGTGAGGCTTCTGGAACCCTGAGTCTCATTTGTTCTTCCTTTGGGAGCCGGTGTGGGAGGACACAATAAAGGTCAGCATTTGTAGAGAGCCAATCCGGGTAGCTCTTCAGTGGTGTTCATTCCCTGGCCTTGTCATCCAGTTTCCCCACTTTGCCCCTAGCTTGGAATCCTAGAATGTCACAGCTGGCTCCTAGGCAGACTCTGTGCTGTCATTTTTCTGTCTCCCTAGTTTAACCCTATATTCAAGGCTCCCACTGCTTCTTCTGCTTTCCTGGGGAACTTTCTTGCCTGGAAGACCAGGCTCTTGAAGAAAAGAAAACAGGTCCTGGGAAAGAGAGTTTCTTGTCCCAGGGCATATCGCAAGTCAATGACAGAACTGAGATTAAATCTTATGCTCTTCGTGAGGGTGGGTATGAAAGAGAAAGAGCTCGGGGGTCTGGGCCCATTTTCTTTCTCAATACATTTCTACTTGCTGTTCCCCATATCTGGAATGCATTCTCTACTCACCTCTGCCTCTTAGAATCCCTTGCTTCCTTCAAAACTCAGTTGAAGAGCCCCATCCTGCATGAGGCCTTTCTTGATCTCCCTAGCTACTAGTACATTTCCCTGCCTCATTACCTTATCATTAATTTATATATATATATTGCATTTACTTATGTACAATACATGTTGCCTCCTCTGATAGAATGTAAGTTCCTTAGGAAGGGGGTTATTTGTTTTTGTCTTAGTATCCTAGTTCGGTGCCTAGCACATAGTAGACACTTAACAAATGCTCATTGGTTGATTGATTGATTGATGTCCCTTTTTGCCCCACAGCTACGGAATGACTACATGCAACGCTATGCCAGCAAGGTCAGTGAAGGCATGGCACTCCAGCTGGGCTGTCTGGAGCTCAGGTATGTGACTTCCAGTCTCTTACTGAGGCACCATCTGGATGTGAGCCAGGTACCATGGACAGAGACTGCCCATCTCTTCTTGTTCTCCCTGTACACTGTTGACCCAGTCTTCCTTCTCAAAGTCAAAGGGAGGGAATAGGAGAGGGGAGAAATCGTAAAAGATTTGAGACTTGGGTACTAAGATTTGGCTGCTTGGTAGTACATATTGACCTATTTTTCTGTCCACTATCCCTGCCTCCCGCCTCCATTTGCCTATAGTTTCTTTGTTTGCTTCTTTAGCACTTAGTCCTAAGTTACCTAAAATCAGCCTGTTTCATCCACCCATCTTTCTAACCTCATTTACAAACTATACTGAGCAAAGCATTCTACTCTGATGGATTAGACAGAGTCCTGGGAGGGGGTGTGTATGTGTGTGTGTGTGGGGGGAATATCTGGGCCTAATTTCGTTATCTTTGCTGACTGTCATTAAGTCCTTCAGTGACTTTGGGCAGGTAATTTAACTTTTCTGTGTCTCAGCATCCTCACCTCCACAATGGAAGGGATTGGTTAGATGAATTCAAGCATCCCTCTCATGTCTGATATTCTGTCCTTATCTGCTCTTTCACTGTCTGAATGCGTCTCCATTCAGCAGTCTCCCTTTGTCTTTATACCCAGTTGTGTCTAGACATCATCCTTAGCACTATGTGGTGATAGAGACAGAACATTGTCATTTAGCTACACCTCCAAGTTATTACATATCCTATTTAGCCCACCCCAGCCCGCTGCAAAGAGACTGAGTCAGGGGTGGGGGATAGCATTAGAAAGCTATTCAGCTCACTGATTATTCCAAATCTTAGGGAGATTCTGGGACTCCTTCTTTCTATTCCTATAAACTGGAGGGTCATTAGAAAATTCTGGCTTTTGTTCTAGAAAACAGGGTGTAGGATGCTCAGGGATGTCCATGGGAATATAGCAGGGACCACTACAGCAGGAAGAGACCTTAAAGACCATCTAGTGCTTTTTATCCTCTCATTTTACAGAGAAGGAAATTAAGGCCCAGTAAGGGCCAATAAATGCTTAAGGGCACATAGGTAGTAAGTGGCACAGTTAGATTTCAAATTCAGATCTTCTGACTTCAAATCCAGTATTTTCAACACCCTACCTGTGGATGACTTGAACTTCTCATAAATCCCCAGAGAGGGATGAGTACTGGGGAGAGTGGAGGATCTCCTCAGTTGCTCCAGCGTGCCAGAAGGGACTGCTGATTTTCTAGCAAAATGTGCCCAAAAGGATGTGGGATAGAAGATGTTTCTCCTCCAAGGACAGTATGCTTGGCCTCCCCCATCATTTCTCCCTGCTTCCCTTTCTCCAAAATATCTTTAGCATGGTACACATTCAGCCAACTAGCAACCAAGCAATACAGTTCTGCAAGTTAGAGTATAAAGTCCATTTCTACAGATCTGAGGATGCAAACTCTCCCAAGGTACCAATGATCTCTTAATTTTCTCCTTTAATAGACAGTCCTCATTCTCCTTGACCTCTCTGCAGCATTGACTTTATTGACTATCTTCTCCTTCTGCATGCTCTTTCCTTTCTGGGGGTTCATGATCCACCTCTCTTGTCCCTCCTCCTACCTGTCTAACTGCTCCTCATCAGTGTCCTTTGCTTGACCCATCCATCTTATGCCCTCATTAACTGTGGGTGACCCTTGAGTTTCCAGCCTGAGACCTCTTCTCTTTTCACTTTATTCTCTTACTTGATGATCTCCTGAGATCCCGTGGATTCTATTGTCATCTCTATGCAGATTACTTCCAGATCTATATATCCAGCCCTAGTCCTCCTTCTGCATTCCAAACTGCCTATTTGGACATTTTGAAATACATGTCCCATAGGCATCTCAGACTCAACAAGTCCAAACCAGAATTCAGTATCTTCCCTCCCTGCACCTGCCCCTTCCCCATCCACCACCTTCTAAAATTCCTTACCACTCTCAATGGTGCCAGCATCCTCTCTGTCAACCTCCATCCACTTTACTGCCCAGCCACACTGGCCGTCCTAGCCGTCTTACTGTTCCTTACATACAATGCTGCATCTCCTGTCTTCATGCCTTTGTAGTAGCTGTGTCTATGCCTGGACTGTGCTTGCTCCTCACTTCTGCCTTTTGTCCATATCTTCTTTCAAGACTTAGCTTTACTACCACTTTCGGATCCACTTCTCCTGCCTCTATTGCTAGTGCCTTCCCTTCTAGGGGTACCTTGTATCTACTTTGCATCATATATATATATATATATATATATATATATATGTACATATTGTCTTCTCTGTTAGGATGTAATCTCCTGAAGGGCAAGAACTGCTTTTGCTTTTTGTCTTTGTATTCCCATCCCTTAGCACAGTGCCTGATGTATAGTAAGTGCTTAATAAATGCTTGTTTTTTTATTGGTTGGGTGATTGATACCAGACCCATGACTGTTCCCTCCATCTCCATTTCCTGAAAGGAAGTCACTGAATAAAGGTATTATTTGTCCTGGAATGAATAAGACAAGACATTAACTACCTTAATAGGTTCCTAGTGACACTGGTTCCTGAAGTCAGAGTACATAGGTTCAGATCCCATCTCTGCCTGTTATTATCCATGTGACCTTGAGCAAATCTTTTAACATTCCTGGGCCTCTATTTCTGCACCTGGTTCAATTAGAGGGTCTCTAAAGCCTCTTTTAGTTCTAAGTCTATGGTCCTACATGAAAAATATCTTTTCCAAGAGAGATCAAGATAATTTATATTATCCTTTGCTCAGTTAATCATGGACCACTTGTGTTAGGTACTGGGGGTTAGGTGAAAGGGGTTCTCTATAAGAATCCTCTATGTTGACTATAGGGCAGCTAGGTGTTACAGTGGATAGAGCATCAGGCCTGGAGTCAGGAAGACCTGAGTTCAAATCCAGCCTTAGACACTTACTAGCTGTGTGACCCTGGGCAAGTCACTTAACCCTGTTTGCCTCAGTTTCTTCAAAATGATCTAGAGAAGGAAATGACAATCCATTTCAGTTTCTATGCCAAGAAGACCCCAAATGGGGTCACGAAGAGTCAGACAGGACTGAACAGCAACAACAATAACAATGAATGTTGACTGCATTTACATCAACTCATCAGCTATGAAATTACCACCTTTTCTTTTCAAATAAATCTCAATTGCCCACCTTAAAAAAGAAGTATATGTATATATAATGTATGTATACATATATGTATGTGTATGTGTGTACGTATGTGTATGTATTTATGTATGTATGTGTACATATATATAAAAATATGATTATTGCATCTAATTTGTCTTCATGTTCCTTTCTCTTTCTTCTCCCTGCCCACAAATTGGGGTTTGAAATTGGTGGTTCCTATCCAGAAACTTCCCCATTAGAAAATAAGAATGCTCCATTTTCTAATGGTTAGATGGGCTTTGTCCAAGTTTTGAAACATAAGATAAACATTAAGTAAGCTGAATAAACAGAACAATAAACCCATTAGAAAGTACTCAGGAGATGTGCTGTTTTAGAGACCTTGACAGCAGTGACTAATCAGTTCCCATTTCTGTAGGGATTTGTTTTGTTTAGATCAGATCAGAGATAAATTTATACTTGTATTATTATATGTGACTTTTTCCTCTATTGAGTTTTGATTGATTCTAAGTGATTCTCTAGATATGTGTAAGGGTGGGTAGGGAGTGGAGGCCATCTTCAAATAAACAAATATGAGGAAACTCGGAGAGAGAGTCAGTGTGATGTAATAAATAGAGTTTATAAAGTGGATAGAGTTTAGAGTCAGAGCTCTTCTATTTCCTATTTTTTCTTCTATTTCCTAAATTCGTGACCTTAGACAAGTCAAAATTATCTGTGCCTGAGTTTTCTCATCTGTAAATTAGAGGATTAGATTAGACGAGGTTATTTCCATCTCTGGATCCTATGATTCTATTATGAAACCGTTCTGACAATTCATAATACATTTAGATGATTCAGGAGAGTGGGGAGGGGAGAAGTGAAGAGGATAAAATACTCTTTATAAACCTACAATGAAGATTTTAAAACAACCAAATCCCCAGAAATAGCAGGGGAGGGTGCTTGGCTTAAAATAGGTACACAATAAATATTTCTCATTCATTCTTTCATCCTATACATAAATGGCATATTTCAATGGAAGAGTTTAGTGGAGGAAGAGTGGGTAATCAACAGCATGGTCATCAAAGTAATTACCAAGTAGAGGAAATGGTCCGGAGATTTGACTGCCAAATAGCCAGGGCACAGTCTTGACTTAGGAAACCAGCCAGGGTAAGTTTGTACCTCGATATGAGCAGCGATTGAGAACAAATCAAGATTAGGAAGAGTCGACCAATCCAGGTCAAATGGTGTTTTCTCTCATTACTATTATGCCATAATTACATTCGTATTTACATCGCTATTTTAAGATGGCATATTTTTAATAGAAAAAGGATAATTGAGTACTTTGTTGCTATCAGTTTTTTTCTCCGTTACTAACATTTGAGAATAGTGTGACTATTGTCTGTGTCCAAGCCCAAGTTCCCATCAGCCTTAGTATTCCTCTGCTCTGCTCCCCCCCCAGCCTTCACCCATCCAGGTGAAATCCAGTTAAAATGAACATCAAAAGCAGTCTTTAAGAGACCAAAAAGTCACTAATCTTGTAGACTGAGTGACTTGCAGGGTAGGGAAAAGAGGGCAAGTTCACAAGAGTCTTTCTGTTTTGGTCAGTCCCTATTTTCCATTGCTGTTCAGTCATGTCTGACTCTTGATTACCCCAATTTGGGCTTTTCTTGGCAAAGACACTGGAATGGTTTGCTATTTCCTTCTCCAGCTCATTTTACAGATGAGGAAACTGAGGCAAACAAGGTTAAATGACTTGCCCAGGATCATACGGCTAATGAGTTTCTGAGACTGGATTTGAACTCAGGTTTTCCTGATTTCAGGCCCAGTGCTCTATTCACTGAGCCACCTAGCTACCCTTCAGTCTCTGTTATTCTCTGTCTATTTCATTCTCTCTTCTTCTTCATTCTCCCTGCCATTTTTTTCCTCATTTAAATGCAATAGTTGAAGGAACTGGGGATGTTTAGTCTGGAGAAGAGAAGGTGTTGGGGGGACATGGTATTATCTTCAAATATTTGAAGGGTTGCCATGTGGAAGAGGGATTTGTTTTATACCATTTGATTCCACAAGGCAACCAGGCCAATGGGAGGCTTGTTTTGGTTCAATATAATGAAGAACTTTCTTTCAGTTAGTTAGGTCTGTCTGAAAGTGAGAGGGGCTGCCTTGTGGGGTAATGAACACCTCATCAGTGGAAATATTCCAGCAGAGACAGGATGACTGACTGCCTGTTAGGGATATGGAAGAGGAAATTCCTTTTGGGGCGAGAGGCTGGACTAGGTGACACCTAAGGTTCCTTCTGATCCTAAGAGTCCAGGATAATAGTCATCTCAGGCAGACTTCCTACTATGGTTTGACTATTTATCTTTTCTATAGTGACAGTGTTTTGTTTTGTTTTTAATTTAACTGCAGCATAGAAGGGTTTCCAGAGGACTTTTTCCAAGGGGATAGAAGAGACATATGTGAATATACCAAGAGGAGCTATGTGAGGCCCACCAAAAAGTAGGGATTACTGGACAGATTGACCTCTGAAGTAACTGGTGTCTAGTGGGAGTGGGGACACCTACTTCAATGGGTCAATATGGAGCAGCCATTTAGTACCAGGAAAGGTCAAGGTCTTATCATCAGCTGCTGCTTCCTTGGCTTCTCTCCACAGAAATGAACAGCCCTGGCCACTGGGATAATCCAACTTTGAATAGGACCTAGAGACCCTTAGTGTATTAGTATATAGTATCTATGTAAGAAAGACCATGCCTAGGTGGGTATATGATCTGGGATCATTCCTAGCATAGTGCAGCCCTAAGTACCCCCCCCCCAAAATTAGGTGAAATCAAGTTAAAATAAATATCAAGGGCAGCTTCAAAGAGAACAAAAAATATCACAAAACATGAAACCTAAGGGGACTGAGAGGAAGAGGAAATAGAAGAGGGAGTTCTACCTGCTTTTATCTTTAATTTGTTTTAGATTTTTATCTGAATTTAACAAACACTAAAATGGGCATTTGCATACACACATATCAGAAGAGGGTTGTGTATGAAGCTATAAGTCTCTATTATGTACAGCTTCCTTTTCTTTGTAACATATAACAAGTTCAACCTGTACCTTTAAAAACTATCCTTTTTGTCTGTGCTTTTTTCTGGACTTCTTTCCATTCTCTGAATTTTTAAAAAATACTCCCCTATGGCCCTTCTTTCTTTCTTTGCTCCCCTCTCTCTATCCCTACCTCTCATCTCCTACCCACTCACCCTGGAAAACGCATAAAAGAAAAACAAAGCCCTTATAACAAATATTAATATTATCAAGTAAAATAAATTCCTATATTAGCTATGTCTGAAAATATCTACCTGCTTCGTCTTAGTCATAGGAAGAAGGAAAAATTCTGTGTGTATAGGAATCTCAATTCTTTATTCACACCAACTGACAAAATTGCCTCTTCTTTCCCTGTCAGATGCCTCCTTGGGCCACAGTAGAGTGGGGGCGTTGCACCCTGGAGCTATAGGCAATAGGTCTAGTTTTAGGAATGGCCCTGGGGGAAGGGGTCTTTTTTAAATTCAGACTGTGGAACTCTGTAACTACCTAGTCAGAGTCTCCCCAGGTGCTTGGGATCCCCCAGGCCAATGTGTATCAGTACAAGTGATTTAATTGCTGAGCCTTGGTTTACTAGCCACCAACTCTCCTGTTTTTCATAGGAGGTTTTTTAAAGACATGCCCCACAATGCCCTTGACAAGAAGTCCAACTTTGAGCTCCTGGAGTAAGTATCTACAGTCCCTCCATTCTGTCTCTTCATTCCCTTTCTTCCCTTTGACCATTCCCCAGATCCTTGACTTTTATTCCATTTTGGTGAATCAAATTGGGGGATCCAATCATTCCTGGACCAAGTGGAACCTTTCCCCCCAAAATCCGAGCCCTCCTATTTATTTCTGATTGGACAAGAGGCTTTGGATTTGGGATGAGTTGCCATTGGTTGATTTCTTTTCTAGGAAGGAGGTGGGGCTGGACCTGTTTTTCCCAAAGCAGATGCAGGAGAATCTGAAGGTGAGGAGGAGGGAGGAGAGAACTTCTCCAAATTCGTTGTCAGGCAAAGGGAAGAGGAAAAATTTTCTTTGGGAAACTAGTGAATATTCATTGTTTTAGAGCCGTTTAGGAGCAGAGTGGCCCATAGAAAGGAGGAGATTTTCTCAGCTATGCTTTTATGTAATGTCATCTGTTTAAATTTATAGGGCCTACCAGTGGGGTCTTGGGGATTTTTTCTATAATAGATAGCATCCTCTCTGGCCATGTTTATACTCCAGTCCTTTTTTTACCTGGTCTATAGGTAGGTAGCTTAAAGGGTAGGGTAGGGATCATGAGGAGCAGAGTTACAATATGCTCCAACTCCCCACCTCCATCTCTTATGGCTTCTCCTTTACAGCCCAAACAGTTCCGAAAGATGATCCAGCAAACCTTTCAGCAGTATGCCTCACTGAAGGAAGAAGAATGTGTCAGGAAATTTTTCAACACACTTGCCGGATTCGCCAACATTGACCAGGAGACCTATCGCTGTGAACTCATAGTAATGGCTTCTTCTCCAGCTTTCTTTATCCCCTCCAAGTGCTAGATTCCATGTTTCTCGGTGTCTGGGCCCAATGAGGCCAGCAGAGAGAAAAACAAACCAACCAACACCCAGCTTTGGGTGTTCTTGAGGGTCAGGGCACCCAGATGAAGTATATCTACTGAAGTAGGCTACAGTTGTTTCCTTTATAAAATGAGGTTATGTAATATTTTACCTGTCTGAATCCAAGGGACTGAACCAGATGATATTTTGAAGTCTCTTCTAATATCTATGATTCTCTTTGTTGTTTGTTGTTGTTGTTTTATTAGTGTATTTATTGTGTATTAGGTAGGTATAAAGGTGGGATGGGGAGGTTCTCCTTGAGGAGGGAGGAAAAGGACTACAGAAATCTAACAGAGCTGAAGGAAAACAAAGAGGGACATTGGAAGTCTAAGAAATCTCTGTCCCTCAGTCTCTTATACAAAGTCAAGTCACAAGCATTATCGAGCACCTACTATGTGTCATGCAGAGTGCTGGGTGAGGGGAATACAAAGACAAAAAGTTCCTAAATTTAAGGAGCTCACATTCTAAGCCAATAGAGGAATGGAATTCAACTTAATTCAAGAAGCATTTCTTTTCTTTTTTTTTAATTAATAAACTTATTTATTTATTTATTTTTAGTTTTCAACAATCACTTCCATAAGATTTTGAGTTCCAAATTTTCTCCCCATCTCTCCCCTTCCCTCACCCCAAGATAGTGTGTAAATTGATATAGGCTCAACATTTACATTCATATTAAACCTATTTTCACATTGGTCATATTGTAAAGAAGAATTAGAACCAATGGGAGAAACCACGAGAAAGAAGAAACCAAAAAAAAGAGAAATCAAATAATGTGCTTTGATCTGCATTCAGACTTCATAGTTAATAAGAAAAGCTTATTATTTTGTTTTGTTTTTGTACCCCTGGTGCATGCACAAGGATTTCCTTTGTGCATGCACCAGGGGTACAAAAACAAAACAAAATCAAAGGTTGACCCATTTTAAGCAAGTTTTCTTCTTATCTTATTGGAGGCCTGTTCTTGAGGTATGGTGAGAAGGAATTGAGTACAATAATCTATTCTCTATTCTCTACCTTCCTTCCAGCAAGGGTGGAATATTACTGTAGACCTGGTCATCGGACCCAAGGGCATCCGCCAGCTGACCAGTCAAGATGCAAAGGTAGGCCTGGGGTAATAAGGCACACGTGACGGGGAGGAGGGGAGCCCTTCAGGGTATAGCGATCAGAGCTGCCCCTATATTATTCCCTTCTCCATAAGGCATAGAAGGGGGTTGGGAATTCAATAAACATTCAATAAGTGCTACCTACTATGTGTAAGACACTGTGTTAGGCACTTGGGATACAAAAAGAGAAATAAAGGACCTCACACCATTTAAAAACAGCATGTACAGAGACAATTTAATATTAGATATTTATAAAATAGTTTCTGAAGGGAGCACAAGTGTCTAATATGATGGGCAATTTATTAATAATAGAACAGGATTCCAGAGGGCACAATGGAAGGAGGAGGGCAGAACAGAGATACAGACATGAGAAGAATAGATGAGATAGAAGGATATGAAGGAAGATATGGTAGAAAGAAATAAGGGATATAGAAGAGTCCTCAGGAGATGGCCATGAGAGAAATTTAATTCATGTCAGTTCAGCTAGTATTTATTGAGCACCTTCTACATGCCAGACACTTTGCTCAGTGCCAGGATCCAAGGAGAAAACATTGTCTGTAAGAGCATCCCAGGAAAACTCTACCCTCCTCTTCTCTGCTCAATCAGTCTCTCCACACCTTCCCATGTCCAATGTTCCAGTTAGGCCTGATCCTTGGGTTCTGAGTAGCCAACAAGATCTAGTTGTTTCCCTTTTTCTAAATGAACATAAAGAGTCACTTATTCCCTGTAGCCCACCTGCCTGGCTGAGTTCAAGCAGATAAAGTCCATCAAGTGTACGTTGGTGGAAGATGGACAAGCCCTACTCCAACTGGGCATTGAAGGCGCGCCTCAGGTGAGATCTCCCTCATCGGTCTTGGTGGCTCTACAAGAGCCATCAAATGCAATTAGGTTGGACTCTTGTGAGTCCAATTTAGTGGGGACTGAAGTTGAAAAAAGAGGAGCCTGGCTTCCGGTTATGAGGTTATGTGAAAAATCTGTGATTTCATCATTGTAGGGGAACTCCCCTAGGAAATCACTTCTAGTCTACTCTATATATTCTGTATCTGCCTATATATATACATGCTATCTCTCCTATTAGAAGGTGAGCTCTTTGAGGGCAGAGGAAGTTTATCCTTTTCTTTGGGTTCAAACCCAAGTCTTCCTGACTTTAAGTCCAGCATTCTAACCATGATGCCATGTTACTCTTCAATTTCCCACTGTCAGCTGAGACAGTATGGATAGGGCCCTGGACTTGTAGTCAGGAAAACCTGGGTTCAAATTCTGTTTGTAATGCTTACTAGCTACATGACCCTAGGCAAGTCATTAACCTCTTCAACCCTCAGTTTCCTCACCTATAAAATGAGGAATGATAATAATAATAATAATAATAATAATACCTCACAAAGTTGTTGTAAGAATCAGATGAGATAATGTATGTAAAGCTGTTCTGGGCAGGGTGCTCACTGGTCCCAAAAGCAAAGTTGGAATTTGGGAAGATTGAGACAGTGAGGCAGATGACAAAAAAAAAAAATCCAAAGTGATTTAACTAGGTAAAAGCAGCAAGGATATATATGCAGATACTTAACAAGGTTACATAATACATTGATGCTGATTTCCCCATATCCCCCAGTTCCCATGAGGATGTGTGCATGTTGGTAGCAACAGTAGCTTTCAGGAAGGAAGGGAGGACCTATCAATGGCAGGCCTTAGCACGTTTAGCCAGATAGTGAAGCAGGTAAGGTTCTCTTGCCTAATTTGGAACTTGAATAGGCCAGATGTCTCCAAAGGACCATATCCTATTTTAATGATAACTGTATCCTTGTTCTGGGTCACCCATGTTACATAATCATGACCAGGGGCTGCACATGTACACTGAATTTCTAACTGCACCATATGGCCCAGTTAGCCACTTAGGGCTTGTGGTTTGGGGAAAACGTGGCATCCACTACAAAAGCCCTTTGCAAACCTTAATACACTAAATAATAACAATAGCTAACATTTGTGTAGTACTTTAAGGTTTGCAAAGGACTTAACCTGTTTTCTCATTTAATCTCCATTTTTTCCTCACTTGACCTTTCAAAGTAAGTGCTATTATCATCATCCCCAATTTATAGATGAGAAAACTGAGGATTGGAGAGATAAGTGACTTGCCAAGGGTCACATAGGTAGTAAGTGTTTGAGGCAGGATTTGAACTCAGGTCTTCTTGAGTGTAAGCCTGGAACTCTATTCATGATTCCACCTAGCAATTTGAATTAAATTCGAGCTGTTGTAATTACTGATTGAGAAAAGAACATCCAATTCTTCGACAGTGTTTCAGGTTGTGAAGGAGTCAGGGGAGCAGTGTCTTAGGAGGTGGGTACTTATGTGGAAAATATCAGTGCTTGATTTTTAGTACTGGTGAAGGCAAATAGGATTTAAGGCTAGCAACAGCTAGGTGGTGACGTAGATAGAACACTGGACTTGGAGTAAAGAAGACCTGAGTTCAAATGTGACCTCAGATGTTTAATAGCTGCATGAGGCTGGACAAATCACTTAACTTCTGTCTGCCTCAGTTTCTCCATCTGTAAAATGGGAATCGTAATAATATAATAATAGAAACTACCTCCCAGGGTTGTTGTGAGGATCAAATGAGATACTATTTGTAAAATGCTTTGCAAACCTTAAAAGAGCTATTTAAACGCTAGCTACCATTATTATTAGGGAGCTGGTCAAAGAGATTGATCTCAAGATGCAGAAGGTAGATCTCAAGAAGTTATGAGAGGGGCAGCTAGGTGGCGCAGTGGATAGAGCACTGGTCCTAGAGTCAGGATGCAGCTTCAGATACTTATTAGCAGTGTGACCCTGGGCAAGTCACTTAACCCCAATTGCCTCCAAAAAGAAGAAGAAGTTCTGAGAAACAGAGCTGGAGGAACAGAGCAGAAGCCTAGGCAGTATATCTGGAGACCATGGGCTGCCCCCAGCTCTTGCATGGGAAGATTCGGCTGACTGGCCCCACCATGTCTACCCTGGGGACATTTTCACCACGGTTCCCATGGATCTCAGTCCTCACGGGTTTTTCCTCTGCAGTCCTTGTCCATCAAAACCTCCTCCCTGGCTGAGGCTGAGAATATGGCTGATCTGATTGATGGTTATTGCCGGATACAGGGTGAACATAAGGGTTCTCTCATCGTTTGCCCCAAGAAAGGTGGGCATGTTCTAACAGGTAATTGGGGGATGGGAGTGGGGCTGAGGAATCCCCGAGGTCAGGCCTGCAGGAAGCTAATTGGGCAATGGGAAGAGAAGCCTTGGGATTGTCTTTAGGGTGGGCCCTGTCTTCTCTCCTGATGCATAGGCTCAGATCTGTTGAGCTGGATGGGAGCTCAGGGGCCATAGTCCAACCTCCTCATCATCTTGGTTCCTTCCTCCCTGTCCCCCATGCTGAAATGCTCATCCTCCTCACTTACACTACTCCCTTCAAGGGTCTGCTCAGATGCCATTTCTTACAAGAGGTCATTTCTGAAACCCCAGGCTGCTAGTCCCAACTCTCCCAAAATTGCTTTGTATTTATTCTGTTAATATTTTAGACATAAGTGTTGTTTCCCCCCAATAGAATGTAAGTTCCTTTGGGGCAGGACTTGTTTTATAACCCTATCGTCTAGCATGGTGCCAGGCATATATAATAAATGCTTATTAAACTGCATTGAATGAAAGACCTGAATGAAGAAAAGTGGAAAGAGAGCTGGGTTTGGAGTCAGAGGACCTGGGTTTGAATCCCGGTTCTTTTACTTAGTACCTGTATGACCCTGGGAAACTCACTTGGCCTCTCAGTCTCAGTTCTTTAACCACTAGTGGAGTAGATTGGCCACTGTGATCCCTCCCAGTTCTAACTCTGATCCCAATAATGATTAGCTCACCTTCTCCAACCCCAACATCCAATCTCTACTCCAAAATCAGGAAACTCCATGAGAGTCAGGTTACGAATCATTCTAACTAACAGAAGAAAGTTCTAGGAGTGGTGGAGGATGGCAAGTGACCACCTAGAACCCAGACTCCTTCTCTCTCCCCAATATCACTTCTTTGTATCTCTTTCAGATGGTGAGAAGCGGAACAGCCTGCCTCAGATCCCTACCCTGTGAGTAGAGTGGGACAGCTGGGAGTGGGACTTGGAATGGGTCCGGTGTGAAAGAAGGAAGGACAAATAGAAACTTCGACTTTTATAGATTAGCTGGCCTAGATCCTACCTCATCAGCTCCTTACTGGGATGTTCCTGTGTCTTAATTGTAGACTGGCTCCTTTTAGTGGGGTGGTTCATCTCATCTTACATCCCCATACTTGGCAGTGGTAATTGAAATCATTGCTGGGGATGGAGGGAATGGGGAAGTGGTGGCCGTTTTCCATACTAGAAATAGCGATCTCCTAGTATTGAAGGAGGGTAGACATGGGTCAGACCATCTGGAGAGGAGACTAGACTACAGAGTATGGGGTTGGGATGCACTGGTGGGGTCCAATCCGAAGGTCTAAGCCCAGACTCACTTCTAATTTTGGTCCTCTCAATGCTTCCTCTTGTACAGGCACTTTGGAGAGAGGAGATCCCAGTTCTCAGAAAGCTGCAGCATTGGTAAGCTCTGTATTTCAATCAGTCTATCTCTTCCCTCCCTGCTCTGCCTCTTTCAAAACCCTTCCAAAGACTCCCTCAGAATAGAAAGAAAGGCAGCCTCAACTTCTTGCTGGCTCTGCCCTCAGCAACCATGATTCCAGTTAAAGGCCTAATCCGAGGGGTTGCCTTCATTCTCTCACTGGGCTTTCAGTGCCTACCAGAGGCTAATGAAGAGGGAGAAGGCAGGGGGGTCCTTCCACCTTCTGGCCCCATTCTAGGGACCAGTTCTGATGATAGTAGGCAGGGAATGCTGGAAAGATTCAACCCCAGGTGGACAAAAGGCCCAGGGAGCAACGTTGTCCCTGTTTTTCCACCCACACCCACCAGTTCCATTCTCCCCTCAAAACCTCCTGCCCCCTCGGTTATCAGATAATGGAGAGAATTACCATGCAGTAGGGTGCCTGATCTTCCAAAAATATAGGGACATGGCTCGTGCCAGCTCCATCATCCCTGAGCAGTGGGGAACAGAGCCACCCACTGGATTCCTAGGTTCATGTTTTTGGGGGATGTCTCAACAGTGGGATGGACCCTCTCTTTGTCATTCCAGAGTCAGACATTTATGCAGAAATTCCTGATGAAACCCTGCGGAGGTCTGGAGGTAGGTACTGGGCAAAATTGCAAGTTTTCCTCTGCCCCCCAATAGAAATCCTCAGTGCATAGCACAGCAATTTGTGCATAGTAGGTGCCTGATAAATATTTGCTGAGTGAACGATGAAAGCCATAGTCAGTGTCCAGACCTTGAGTGAACAGATAAGGTGGTTGGAATGTCATGAAGAGAATTTTCCTTCCTTCTTTCCCATATTTGTCACCAACAGTCCTATGCATAGACAGGGATATACCTGAGTCATTATTAATTTGAATGATCTTAATGTTAGTATTCATTCATTCAACATGTATTGAACCTGACACTCTCCTGGGTTCTACTAAGGTGATATCACAGAAGTAGACAACATGTCCCAAGTCTTCCAAGAGGGAAAACTCTTTTCTGGGTCTGAGAAAACAGGGAAGCCCAGATATATAGAAACTCAGAGCTGAAAGAGACTTGAGGGAGATAGAATGGAACAATGGAAAGACACTGACTTTGAGAACAAAGAATGTGGGTTTAAATCCCACCTATGATATCAGCTGTGTGCCTTGGGCAAGTCACAACTTCCCTGAGCCTCAGTTTCCTCTTTTCTAAGCTAAGGAGGTTGGACTAAACTGTCTCCGAACTCCCTTCCATCTCTCGATCTCTGAGCCTATCACAAACTATCAAGTTCAATTCCTGGAAACTAAAGACCAGAGAGATTAAACTACTTGTCCAAGGGCATATAATCACTCAGTGACTATCCTAGGTGCCCTGAAGTGACCAGAATTCATTGCAGTTTCCATATTACTACTCTGCCCCTCCCATGCTTAGACTACTGGATCCTGATCAGGGGCACTGTGGCTAGGTGACTGAGGAAGCCTGGAGCCTTCAGGTAACTGGCAGTGTGCATAATGGTCAGGGAGCTAGATTTGGAGTTCAGAGGACCTGTGTTCAAATCCCACCTCAGATACTTACTAGCTGTGTGTCTCTGGGCAAATCACTTAGCTTCTCTGGGACTCAGATCCCTCATCTGTGAGATGCAAGTGCTAACCTTAATGGTCCCTGCAAGTCTGCATTTCTATCTATTTCTAGTACCTTATTTTCTCCTGTGAGTAGTCAGGTTCCTGGGAAGAACCACTGTCATACGTTTACCCCTCTTTGGGGCTCATGGTTTTCTTACTGTCCTCAGGTTTGCAATATGGTGTTGCCCGGGAAGATGTGGTTCTGGGCCGCATCCTGGGGGAAGGCTTCTTTGGAGAAGTGTATGAAGGTGTCTACCAGAACCATGTAAGTACTAGCCGGTCTAACCCTTTCCTCTCTCGTTTACTTAACCATGTGGTCTGGGGCACAAGCTATTAACATGTAAGGGGGATAGTCGATAAGTCATGAAGGGCTTGGACGTGTGCCCATTTGGTAGCAGAAATGGTCATGAAATGTTTGAGGTAGTGGGGGTGATTGGGAAAGACAGTAACTTACCATAGTAGTACAAGAATAGAACAGAGGTACAGTTTGAAGGAAGAGGGAGATAGGAAATGCTAAGTGGAAGAAACAGATGTAGTAAGCATTTATTAAGCTCTTACTACATACCAGGCACTGTGCTAGACACTGGGGATAGAAAAACAAAAGTAGATAGTCCCTTCTCTCAAGGAGCTTATATTCTGTTAGGGTGAGATGGTAGTAGTCATCTGATCCAACATCCTAATTTTATAGATGAGGAAACTGAGGCTGAACTAGGTATACTAACTTGCCCAAGGTCATATAGGTAGTAAATGGCAGAGTTGGGATTTGAACTTATGCCTTTTGAACCAGAGACAGGGTTGTTTCCACTATAACGTAATGCCTCTCAAGAGGCAAGGTACTGGGGCAGCCCACAGAGTCCCTAACACTGGGGCTGGGACTGACATGTCTAAAGCAGATTGAGAAAGGGCAAGGATAAGATTAGGCCAGGGATATAGCCAGGCAGCCTCAGCCCAATGGTTTTCAGGCAATGGCAGGAGGGGAGAGTCCATGACAGTCTTAAATTTCTATATTATACCTCTGCTCCATCCTTCTGGGCAACTTGGGGCTATTCTGGGGTCAAGGAAGTTCTAGGTCTGGGCCACTTGGGTGTTTTAAGAGAAGAGGGGGTAAGTTCCATTTGGCCTGGTTTGATTAGTTTCCCATCTTTTAGGCCACAGACAGAGAAACACAAGTCAGCCAGGAACCTGGGAGTTTCTATAGAAGATCCCAGAGTGGGAGGGGAGGTTTCCAGAAGTGAGGTGGGTACTAGTCAGGAAAAGGGAGCATAGCTAGGACATAGTTAATTGAACTGAGAAAGACTGGAATTGAAAAACTAGAGCTTTTTCTGGACTCTACCCAGGCACAGCCTTGATGGGAAGAGCCTGGTGAGGCATAGGGGTCATGCCAGGGGAAGTGGGTAGGCAGAGACATTTTATCTAGGCTACCAATCTGGACCGAGGGGTCCTGAGCATATATCTGTTGCAGAAAGGAGAGCGGATCAATGTGGCTGTGAAGACCTGTAAGAAGGACTGCACTTTTGAAAATAAAGAGAAGTTCATGAGTGAAGCAGGTAAGTCAGCTGCTTGACGGATCATAGGATCATGGCGCTGGACTTGTCACTGAAGTAGTAAGCCACAGAGGTGGAACATAGACTGAGGCCCTCTGACTCTGGAGCTCTCTCCACTAAACCACTCTGTCTCCCATGTTGTTGATGATCTTGGCTGAGGGAGTCAAGCAGATGTTGGCAGAAGGAGGAAAATTCTATCAGGCCCAGAGCCTCCAAGTTGAAATGCAGTCTCAGAGATGGGAAGGCCAAGAGGAGAAGGAAGAGGAAGCAGTGGGGGCAGAAAGACAGGGAGGGGATTGCTGATGAGGCCCAAACAGGACATCTTGGGAAATAAAGGGGGACTAGTCCCCTCCACCTGAGCCTCCCCCACAATCATCTCTACTATTCCCCCAATTTGAGGCAATTTGTAGTCTTTCAAATGGATTTTTTTCAACTTGTATAAAATATATCTTTTATTTTAATATTACCTTCAGTTCCTAATATATCCCTCCTTTCTCTTCTACTGAGAGATCCATCCCTTGTGAAAAGAAATAAAAAAGAAAGGGGCAGGGGGAAGAGTAGTATAGCAAAACTAACCAATGCATCAACTTATGATTCTGGCAATATATATTCTGTTCTATACCCATAGCCCCCTACTTCTGTAGAGCAGGGAAGGAGATACATTTTTTAGCTATTAAATTTGGCTATTATAATTAGTATTCAGTTTCATTTTTTTCTTCCTGTGTATGCCCTCAACTTGCTGTGACCCTGTTCTCTCCTGGCCCCATCCTAGTATTAATGAAGAAATTGGATCATCCTCATATTGTGAAGCTGATTGGTATCATTGAAGAGGAGCCCACATGGATTATCATGGAGCTGTACCCATGTGGAGAGGTGAGCACAGAGAGGGAGGGAGGAAAGAAGCTTCTGGAAGGGCAAATCAGCCACCCGGGGATCTGGTTTTACAATTGACCCAGGACAAATCTGGGCTCCTGGGAGTGAGGCATTTTACGGTTAGAATGGGCTCTGAATCTCGATATTGTGCCTTCTTTCTTCAGTAGGAGCAACCAGGTGACTAGATTCCCAGGTGTTATCAGAAAAAATATCCTTAGGTAATCATGCATGGTCTCATCACCTGCCACTTGGACTATTGTGGTAACCTCCCAATTGCTGTCATTGCCTTTAGCCTCTTGCCTTTCTAATGTGCCTTCCAGATAGCCACTAAGCTGATATTCCTACACCATAGGTTTGTCTATATGACTCCCCTGCTCAAGAACCTTCAGTGGCTCCTGATTGCCTCTAGGATAAAATACAAACCCATCTAGTTGGCATTTGAAGCCCTTCACAATCTAGCTTTAGCCTGTCTTTCCAGGCTAATTACATATCACTCCCATTCACATATTCTACTTGCCATGTTCCCTGACTGTACATGACATTCCATATCCAACCTCTCTGGGCCCCACCTGGAATGTCCTGCCTCCTTACCTCTTCCACTTGGAACCTCTTGCTACTTTTAAGTTTCTGCAGAAGGAAGCATAGCTTACTGAGAGGCAATGTAGTGTTGTAGATAGGCCAGGAGACTTTGAATCAGGGAAGACTATCTCAGATACCTACTAGCTATGTGGCCCTGGGCAAGTCACTTAACCCCTGTGTGCCTCAGTTTCCTCACTTGAAAAATGAGATGGTTGGATTTCATGACCTCTGAGGTTGCTTCTAACTCCCAAGTCTATGATCCTTTGATTACATGTCAGTTACATCCTACAAGAAGCATTTCCTGATCCCCTTAGTTGACATTCTTTCCCCCCATACCTGTAATCACTTTGTATTTATTTGGTCTATAATTCATATTTACTTTGTTGTATATATGTTTTCCCTCCAGCAGAATATAAGCTTCTTGAGGGCAGGGGCTGTTTCATTTTTACCTTTGTATCTCCAAAAGAGAAGGTGCTTAACAAATGCTTGTTGGATTGAATCAGATGGAGCCTTTGGCCTTAGCCGCAGCCTGGAACCTAACGGCCAATGCTCACACTTTTTGTAGAAGTCTCAGCCCATTTTTCTGATGGTCTGTTTTCTCCTTCTCCTGCAGCTTGGACACTACCTGGAGCACAATAAGAATTCGCTAAAGGTGCTCACCCTCATCTTGTATTCGCTGCAGATATGCAAGGCCATGGCTTACCTGGAGAGCATCAGCTGTGTCCACAGGTAGGTGGGGGCAAGGGAATGACAACAGGGAGGATGGTAGAGTCCAGGGGTCCACAGGATCATAGGCCCACACCCGGAAGGGACCTCCCCTTATTTTAAAGATGAAACATCTGAGGCCTGGAAAGTGAAGTGATTCACCCAGTGTCACCCAATAGTGAGCCTTGGAGTTTGACCTTGAATCAAGGTCCTTTGACTCTTAGAATTTGGGATCCTCCCACTCCCCCACTTTGATTTAAGGCTCAGAGGGTCAGGGGGAAAGTCTGCCATAGCCTACTCTCCAGGATGTTTGAGTGGAGCAGGGTTATGATGAGGACAATCACTTAATTTGGGGAGAATTTTTTCTTTTTTAAAGATACTTTTTTTAAAAAAATTGATGTTTCTGTTTTCTACATTACCATAGTATCCCGTATATTCTTCCCCCTACCTATCCCTAGTGGCTTTCTCACATGACAAGAGAGGGAAAAAAGTCAGTATAACTGACTGATACATTGAGAAAATCTGAACATATGCAATGTGTAACACCTTCACAAAGGGGTAGGTTAGAGGTATCTTCTCATATCTCTCCATATGAATCCCACTTAATATTTATAATTTTGTTATGTTTACTTTTGATTTGAGATGATTTTTTAAAAAAAAAACTTTATTGATATATTTTGTTTTGACATCACCTAAATATTCCCCTGTATCCTTCCCTTTCCCTATCTCAGAGGACCATCCTTTTAAAAGAGATTTTTAAAATTATCTTTTTTTGTTTGTTTGTTTGGGTTTTTTTTTGTTTTTTTTTTGGCTAGGCAATAGGGTTAAGTGACTTGCTCAGGGTCACACAGCTAGTAAGTGTTACGTGTCTGAGGCCGGATTTGAACTCTGGTCCTCCTGAATCCAGGGCCACTGCTCTATCCACTTCGCCACCTAGCTGCCCCATTAGAATGTATTCTTTTATTTTTTCCCAAATTGGGGTTAAGTGACTTGCCCAAAGTCACACAGCTAGTCCGTGACAAGTGTTTGGTCTGAGGCCGGATTTGAACTCAGGTCCTCCTGACTTCAGGGCTGGTGCTCTATCTACTGCACCACCTAGCTGCTAAATTATCTTTTTTAAAAATTATTTTCAGTTCAAAATTTGCTCCTTTCCTCCAGCCTTCCCCCACCAATTGAAAAAGCAAGCAATACAATGACCATTATGCATTTGAAGTCATGCCAAACATATTTCCATATTAGCTGTGTTGTCCAAAAAAAGCAAGAAAAATTTTAAAAAACGAAAAAAAAATATGCTTCATTCTGTACTCAGAGTTCATCAGTTCTTTTTTTAAACAATAAATTTTTATTGATATCTTTTGCTTCTTATATCACCCAGAATTCCTCCCCTTGCTCCCAGAGTACCATTTCATATTATAAATATTTTTAAAGAAAACAAAAGAAAAACAGTAATGAGAAAAAAATTGTCAAAATCAGTTAATGTATAGAAAAAATCTACAAACATATGCAATGCTCCACACCCATGGACTTCTGCAAAAGAGTGGAATAGAGTCAGTAGGAGAAATGTCTTCTCATTCTCTTCTTTGGGGCCATATTTTGGCCTCATTGTAATTTTGCAACTTTCATTTTTTTTTTGTGGTTGGTCTTCTTTCCATTTACATCATTTCAGTCATCATGTGTATATATATATATATATATATATTTGGTTCTGCTTACTTCACTCTGTACCAATTCATGTACATCTTTCTATGCTTCTCTTTATTCATTAAATTTATTGTTTCTTACAGCACAGTAATATTCTGTTATAGTCATATATCACAATTTGTTTAGCTATTCCCCAGTTAATGAGCTTCTACTTTGTTTATGATTCTTTGCTATCACAAAGAGTGCTGCTACAAGTATTTTGATGGATGTGGAACTTTACTCTTTTTCAGTGACCTCTTTGGAATATATGACTCAAAGTGTCCTCTAGGTCAAAGTTATAGACATTTTACTCACTTTATTTGCATAATTTCAAATTGCTTCCCAGAATAGTTGTACTGATTCACAGCTCCACCACCAACAATGCATTGGTGCATCTGTCTTTCCACAACCCTTCCAACATTGACTATTCCTATCTTTTGCCATCTGAAACAATTTGCTGAATGTGAGGTGAACCTTCAGGGTTGTTTTGATGTGCAGTTCTCTTATTATTAGGGATCTGGAGCATTCTTTCATAAGGTTATTAACAGTTTGCAGAATTGTTTGTTCAGATACTTCGATCATTTCTCCATCAGGAAATGGCTTTTGGCCATATGTTTCTGTTAGTTCTCTTTCTATCTTAGTTGGTATCTATGAAATCTGATAAAACGCTTTCCCCCCAGTTAACCATTTCTCTTCTAATCCTAAATGCCTTAATTTTGATTGTGCAAAAGCTTTTCAACTTCATGTCATAAGAATGATCACTTTAATCTTTTGTAATTGTCTTTATCTCTTGTTTGGTTAAGATAGTCTCTTAACCTTGGCCAGATCTGCTTTCTTGGCTATCAGTTCTCATAACTCATTCTGGAAGACCTGAAATTACTAGGTCGAGGGTGAGGGGGAAGGGCCTTTTAACTCCTAGCTTAGAGTACCCATGTCCTCCACTGAATCAAACCCAATCACGTCAATAGATGACATTTACTCTGGCCTGCTGAAGTCTTCCTCGGATGCCTCATCATGCCAGGAAGGTGACCCTGGGCTCCTGAAGATTGTGTCAGTGGAGAATGGGCACTGCCAGGTCAGGTCAAGTAGAAGCTTCCACTGGGGGGCGGGACAATGATGGACTGACGATATGTCCGTCATTCAAGGACCAGCTAGCTAAATTGGGTGAGGCTCATCATTAGGAGTTGGGACACCAGATAAAGAATTTTTTTCTTTGGCCACCTCAATTCATGGTGATCATCTACTAAAGTTGTGATCTACACCAGTGAAGGAAGTTTTCACACCTGTGAAACCGCAGATCTTTGAAATATTGAAGTAAGTGATTTGCCCTACTTACTATCTGCATCCTGATCTTCCCACCTCCTCCCACTTGGAGTTCCACACAGAAACCATCTTTTCTCTCTCCAACTTATATTGATCTACCAGGTTGGCATGGAGCTATTTCATTCTCCACCTTACTGCATACCCTAGCTCCAAGAAGTGTAATCAAACCATGAAAGACTAGATCCTCCAAAAATAAAATCAATCAATGAATCAATAGACATTCATTAAATACTTACAACAGTTAGGTTTTGATTAGTGTGAATAATATGAATCCTATGAAGTAGTTGCGTATATTTGAATTTGAATTAACATGGCATATTTCAATTGAGCTGAGACTAATAACCATATTTCAGATAATTTAACTTCAAATAGTACAAATTTGAATGCATGTGACCATTTCATGAGATTCACTATTCACATTAATTGGGACCTGTATGTGCCAGTATTGAGGAGACAAATTAAAAAACAAAAACGACCCCTGTATTCAGGGAGCTTACATTCTGAGATTACATTCTTTTTTTCTTTTTTTTTTCTTTTGGTGAGGCAATGGTGGTTAAGTGACTTGCCCAGGGTCACACAGCTAATGTCAAGTGTCTGAGGCCAGATTTGAATTCAGGTCCTCTTGACTCCAGGGCCTATGCTCTATCCACTGCACCGCCTAGTAGCTTCCCCCGATTACATTCCTTTTATACCATCTATATTTTATATGTGTGGCAAGTACTTTCTGGGCCTATTGTCTCAGAGAATGGCCAACTACACCTCATCTTCAGGGTTCTAGTGGTACCCCTAGAAGTTGGGAATACCTGTTCTTTAATACTATCAGCTCAAGCTCCCCATTCATTGTATCCCTCCCCCCCCTTAGGTACCCAAATTCAATTTAACCACTTAACATCAATTGACATTTAGAAGAGGATGTTTACTTTGAAGATATTGTAATAGCAAAAATCAAATATTTCTTCCCAACACCTCATGACATACTCTCTACTATAACACCTCTATCTCTGGGGAGAGTGAGCTCAAACTTAGCAAAATTTCCACACAACACTGGCCCCACCAAGGTTATGTTCAAATGTGGATGAGTCCTTGTTTCAGCTATCACTGGGCTGGACCCCAAAGGTCCTTGCTCCTTAGGGTACCAGTGCTGGGCTGACTGCAAAATCTGAATGAATTCTGACTCCCAGATCCTCATATTCCCAGACTTCTGGTTTCCCAGACTTAGGTCAGGACTCATTTTCCTGACCTTTGGAAAATAATAAGGTCGCACCTAAAATGAAACAGCAGATACTAAGGGCGGCAAGGAACTTAGCCTTATATTCATAGACCACATGTTGGCCTCTGGGGGAAAGGACCTGTTGACTTTCCCTTTATAGCATTGTCTCTCATCGAATAAGGAGTCAAACCAAGAGGACTGATCCACCAATGGCTGAATCCAGAATGGTTGAAGCTCTAATTAGTGCTTTTTGAGGGCTCCCCCAGTTCTAACCACGCAAACAGTCAAAGGGGCTTCTCCTAACCTTATGGTTAGACGACCAGAACAAATTACAGAATGCTTACTAAAGCTCCGATGTTTCTCCACGGCATTTCTTTTACACATCATTCCAGTTCTCTTAAAAGCAGGCTCCCCAGCCTCTGCCATATGAAAAGATACTGTCAAAGGCATTCTGAGCCAGTCCTGTTAAAGTATGTACATGATACATACAGAGTACAGAGAAGATAGCCTGGGAGAGGGAAATGTGATTTTTATTCATTGGTGATGGAGATGAGATGCTGAAGGAACATTGGAGCTCAATGCCAAAGTCTTGGGACTATATTTCCTTGAAGTGAACCAAGATCCTGCTTTGGCATACAAAGCACAAGCCAGAGGGCCTGGCCAGAATTCATTTCCATTCATCTCATCCCAGGAGTTTTTTCTCTATTATGAATAGAGTGTTGAACTTGGAGTCAGGGAGACCTGAGTATAAATCCCTCCTCAGACAATTACTAAATATGTGACCCTGGGAAAGTCACTTTAACCCCTTTCAGTTTCCTTTTCTTCATCTGTAAAAGGAGGGTAATAATAGTGCCTGAGTCACAAGATTGTTGTGATGTTCGAATGAAATAATACATGTAAAACACCTTGCAGACCTTAAAACACTGTCAGTGTTGACTATTAACATCCTTCTTCTTTTCATCATTATCATCATCAACATTATCATTCTTTCTACAGGGACATTGCAGTCAGGAACATTTTGGTGGCTTCTCCTGAATGTGTGAAACTTGGGGATTTTGGTCTTTCTCGGTACATTGAAGATGAAGAGTATTACAAAGGTAAGAAGTAGCTGTTCCTAATCTCTACTTTGCTATCAAAGAATTGTTGATGAAACCCAAAATCAGAACCAGGAAGATCTGTGTTGGGTAGATGGATGGGTAGGGAGGGAGTTCAGGGTGAAGGTCTTTGGAGATGAGTATTATCATCCCTGATCTTTCCAGTTATGAAAATAACTCCTATTCAATATTCATTTCCCCTCAAGCATCTGTGACTCGCCTCCCAATCAAATGGATGTCCCCTGAATCCATCAACTTCCGTCGGTTCACAACAGCCAGTGACGTTTGGATGTTTGGTGAGTAGGAGCACAGGGAAATAGAGGAAAGTATTTCTTATCTCTTCTCTCCTCAATGGTGGATGGTTGGACATCCCAGATTCGTGCTGGGGATGAAGCCAGTATGTGGCTCCTCCCTGTACTGTCTGCTTAGCCCTGCCAACTAATGAATCCCAGAAGGGCTGAAGTCTGGGTGAAGTCGAGGACTGACCATGGGCAGTGCCTGGTGATACTCCTGGAAACAACTATTATGAATGGAAGGTCATTTTGAAACTAAGTTAAGGCTCAGAAATGCTCTGAGGATTCAAAGTGGGTAAGGTCGAAGAACAGTTGTGTGACTTTGGAGAAGGCAGTTGAGTATATAAGTTAAACCCTCAGAGAAGAGGCCTGAGGCCTCATGGTCATTCCTTTTGACTCTTTGTTACTAGCAACTCCATATTCAGAGATCGTTAAGAGATCATGGAGCTTGATCTTAGAGGTCATCTAATCCAAACCTCCTTATCTTACAGATGAGTAAATTGATATTTAAAGAAGTCAAGTGATTTGCCAGAGGATTGGTAAAGAACAGGAAATCAATAGTTCTAAAAAGCTTATTTATCCTTTAGGTTTTTTTTGCTTCCCCCACTCACCCTTTTCAAATAATTCATTGATGCCTTTTTCTTGCTTTGCATTGCTACCTTTCTCCAGTGACCATCTTCTCCCACCCTGGTAACAAACAAGTGTGATAAAATAGAACAAATCCACATATTGGCCATTTTAGAAAAGATGGGTGTTATTTTGTGCATATAGACCTGAAGAGAAGAGGCTTCATGTAGAAGGGGCTGGCTGAACTCCATCTTGAAGGAAGGGAGAGATTGTATGAGACAGAGAGGACATATTTAACAACATGGGGGCTGGCCAATGCAAAAGCAGAGCGATAGAGGATGGATGACAAATTGTATGGAGAACAGAGAGAAGGCCAGCTTGGCTGGATTTCAAAGTGCAGGAGGAGAAATGAGGCTGGAAAGATAGATTTGGGCCAGGTTATAAAGGCCTTTTAATGGTAACTTGGATTTAGATTATATTTTAAAGGCTGTAGGGAGCCACTAGTTTGGAGTGACATGGCCAGATCTGTACTTAGTCATTACTTTGGCAGCTGCATGGAGAATGGCCTGGGGTGGGGAGTGACATGAGGCAGAGACACCAATTAGGAGACTGTGAAAATGGGCTAGGCAAGAGTTGATGAGGACCTGAACTAAGCTGGCAGGAGAGAGAAGGGGGCATGTACAAGAAAGGTTATAGAGGCAGAGAAGGCAATATGGGGCAACTGATTGTGTATATGGGGCAAGGGAGAGGAGGATTTGATGATTTATGCTAAGGTTATAAACCCGAAGACTGAAAGAATGGTGGTGCCATCTACAGAAATAAAAAAGTTTGGAAGAAAGATGGGTTTGAGGAGAAAGAGTTCTATTCTGGATCTGTTGAGTTTGAGAAGTCTGGAAAATCCAGTTTGAAATGTCCGATAACTAGATAGTGATATAGGACTAAAGCTCAAGGGAGCTTGAGGCTGAGATCTTTGCATTTTCTGCAGAGAGATGATAATCGAACCCATAACAAGTGATAAGTTTACCAGAGAGGGTAGAGAGAGAAGAGAAGTAGAGGGCCCAGGACAGGGCCTTCAGACACACTACAATAAGAGAGCTAGCAAAGGAACCTAAGAAGGCTTGCTAAATCAGATAGGAGGAGAACCAGGAGAAAGGAGAGTCATGGAAAGTCAGAGAAAAGAATATCCTCCAGGAGGAGAGGGTCTTGAATATTGTAAAATTCTGCAGAGAGGTCAAGAAGGATGAGGATTGAGAAAGGCCATCAGATGTGGCAATTAAGAGATTGTTGATAGCTTTGGAATGGGTAATTTCAGTTGAGGGATAGTATCAGAAGTCAAAAGGTTAAGGAATGAATGAAAAAATGAAAACAGTTTTTTTCCTAGGAATTTTGGTGAGAAAAAGAGGAGAAATATAGTGTTTGAGGGGATAGTAAGGTATAGTGAAAGGTTTTTTAAGGATGAAGAACACAAGGTCATGTTTGATGGTAGTAGTAAAACTGCTCTGCTTATCTATGTCTGCTTTTGAACTTTCTTCTGCTTTTTTAAAAAAAATTTTTTGGCTAGGCAATGGGGTTAAGTGACTTGCCCAGGGTCACACAGCTAGTGTTACGTGTCTGAGGTCGAATTTGAATTCAGGTCCTCCTGAATCCAGGGACAGTGCTCTATCCACTGCGCCACCTAGCTGCCCCCTTCTGCTTTTTTTTTTGAATACTTATTTAATGTTTTGTGTCAAATATAAACCCTCGATAGGCTTGTTTTCAGACTAACTACAGTTTCATTGACACTCCTTTCTTCTGTTTTTTTTTTCCTATCTTTAGTCATTACCCAATATTTGCATTATTACCCACTAACTTCTCCCAATAAAAGCCCTCTCTTACATCAAACAAGTGTGATCAGGTGAAACAAATCCATATATTAGCCATATCCATAAAAGTATGCCTCATTCTGCACCTCTAATCCATCACCTCTCTGCCAGAAGGTGGGAGGAATACATCATTAGTCTCCTGAAGTCCTGATTGTATCTGAGTGAAATCTATTTTTCGTTATATTATTGCAATCATTATGTAAATCTTTCTGGCTCTGCTCACTTCCCTTTGAAGTTCTCATCTTTGTCATTTCTTAGGGCATTTTAAAAAAATTAAATTTATTTTCAGTTAACAAAAATCTTTTTCTCGTGTCCCACCTGTCAACTTGAGGAGGGGAGGAACAAAGCACTTGTAACAATTATGCATAGCATATAGCATTAAAGTATTATCATGCAAAACAAGTCCCTTTATTGTCTATGTCCAAAAATATATGTCTTATTCTCTACCTTGAGTCCATCATGGCTCTGTCAAGAGGTGAATATCACATATTTCTTCATCACTCCTCTAGAATAATGGTTGGTATTGTATTGAGCAGAGTTCTTAAGTCATTCAAAATTGTTTTTAGAGTGAGTTAGTGTATAAATTGTTCTCCTTGTTTGCTCACTTTACTCTGTATCAATTGATACAAGTCTTTCCAGGTTTCTCTGAATTCTTCATATTTTTCATCTCTTATGGCCTAATAATATTCATTTATGTTAATATACCTCCATTTGTCTAGTCACTCCCTAATTGATGGGAATCCTGTTTGTTTTGGGGGCATTTGGTTTGGGAGGTTCATGGCATTTGTTAAGGCAGCTCTGGGGGAGTCTTCAGGTGGAAATGCCTTCCTTCTAGTGGCTAAGCCCCTTCCCTTTTTGTATTCATTTTTCTTCCTAGCTGTGTGCATGTGGGAGATCCTGAGTTTTGGAAAGCAGCCCTTCTTCTGGCTAGAGAACAAGGATGTAATTGGAGTGTTGGAGAAAGGGGACCGGCTACCCAAACCCGACCTCTGCCCTCCTGTCCTCTATACTCTCATGACTCGGTGCTGGGACTATGACCCCAGTGACCGACCTCGCTTCACAGAACTTGTATGCAGCCTTAGGTAAGTGGGGAGCCAGGGAGGCTTTGGGAAGAGGGTTTATAGGGGCAAGGGATTGACGCTATGGGAGGCAGTGGTGGACAGCTCCAAAAGACAAGATTTCCTGGAAGCCAGCCCAAAATGGCCAGTAATGGTGAATCCTCCTGAAATGAAACTGACCAGTGGTCCTCAGATCAAGCACAAGGTGTTACTTATAGTTGTTGTTGCTCAGTTGTGTCCAATTCTTTGTGACCTTGTGGAACATAGTTGACCAATGCTGTCCATGCAGTTTCTTGGCAAAGATACTGGAGTGGTTTGCTGTTTCCTTTTCCAGTGTATTAGAGCAAACAGAAGTTAAGTGACTTGCTCAAGGTAACACAGCTAGTAAGTATCTGAAGCTAGATTTGAACTTAGACCTTTCTGGTTCCAGACCCAGTGCTCTATCCACTGAGCCACCTGTCAGGCTCTTTGCCTATAATAAGCACCTAATAAATGAGCATTGATTTTATAAAGCTTTAAATAGATAGATAAAGCATTTTTTAATCAATTACTATGTCCCAGGCACACATCATATCATGCCATTTGAGGCTCACCTGTCACAAAGATACCATAGGTATTGTTATTCCCATTTTATGGATGAAGAAACTGAGGATCAAATAGATTACTTGCCCAGGCTTACGCAACTAGTAAGTGTCCAAAGCAGGATTTGAACCCATGTCTTCCTGACTACAGGCTCAGAACTCTGTCCACTGCATGACACTACCTGTTTAATGTAGCTTACCCTCAAATGTTAATGCGAAGAAAAAGGAATGAATGAAACATAAAGCAAAGGATGCTCTGCCACACACCCCTGGAAATGATCCTGTCCCTTGCTCATTGGCAGAATGCTAGCGCTACAGATGTCCAGCCCATTGTTTCACCCCTGGCCATTAGAGTCTACAAACTGACCATTGGGCTGTCCAGCCCCGCCTGCCTCGAAGACAATGAGCATCACCATACTATGCTATTAGCATCATCTTGCCAGGATCACAGGGCTAGTTTCCCAGGAGTGATAATAACTAACGCTTATTAATTGTGATTTAATTGGCCCACATTTGTGATTTCATTGGTATAGGGCAGTGGTATCAGACTCAATAGAAATGGGGGCCATTGATCCATACATAAGGATCCCTATGGGCTGCATATTGAATTAGTTTTAAAATGTAATGTTATCTTTGTTTTATTGTATTCTTAGTTACTTTAAGTATTTTAAGTATTTTCTCAAAGACCTTTTAATTTTGTTCAGAACACAGGAGTGTTGCAGGAGCGTTGCAGGCCAGATGCAGACACTGGGCCACATTTTTTGTACCTCTGGTGTAGGCAACTCCCAGTAAGGAACAAATAAATCTTTGATAATTGAAAAAGAAAATTTAATTAAAAAACAAAATGGAAGTAATCACATTCACAATAACTATGTCACTAAGGTTGTTGTTTCCTTTGCAAAACTTAAAGTACCACAGGAATATGAGTTATTATTATAGTAACAGGTTTATAATTATATGAGTATTGAAGACAAACTTCATTTTATACACAGTTGGGCCTTGGACCAGATCCTTGAGTATATATGGGGAGTCTTTATTTCATTTCATTATTGAAGTCATTGGGTGTATTTTCTCCTGATTCTGCTTATCTCATTCTGCATCAGTTCATGCATATGTTCTGAAGTTTTTCAGTTTCTCTCTCTTTTTTTTTTTATAAAAGCTTGGTAGTATTCCATTATATTTACATACCATACTTGGTTAATTTTTGTTATACTAAGGGGAAAGGAGACCATTCTAGGGGCCACAAGTACTAACCTATCTTGTCAAACATGGGGGTCTCTTAGTGACTGTCACTTTCATGGTGATTTAACCAAGGATATTCTTTGTGTAGATGGAAAGAGAATCTAATATCTGGCCCTAAGTCCTTCCCTGGCTTCAGAGGGGAGGCAGAGGGTATTTACACAGAGCAGGAGAGAACTTCCATGGTATCTGTAATATATAGCTTGTCTCTCCTAATTTCATCAACTCCCTGGCAGTGATGTTTACCAGATGGAGAAAGAGATTGCTAAAGAACAAGAGAGAAATACCCGCTACCGGACACCCAAAATTTTGGAGCCCACAGCCTTCCAGGATCCCCCACCCAAGGTAAGTCAGGCCACACTGCCTCTAGGAAATAAAACACAGCCAGGCTCCTCTTTGGTTCTTAAATAGCTTGATTGATCAGCCAGACACCCTCTATAGCTGTTCTTTTTCTTAGCCTTTCAATCTCTTACCTATACTCAGTTCCTGTCACATGAGTGCATAGAAGGCTTGGGACCAATCATATCCAGCAGGTGACATTATGAGATGGTTAGGTCAGTAATAACATGAGATCAGCTTTCCTTAGGATGCTGGGGAATCTTTCTTCCTAAGGATGAAGAGGTACAAGTTACATAGCTTTGAGGGGCCATTAAGCTATGAGGCAGGAATTACACCTGATGCCCTGATGGACCAGAAATGTTGGATTCTCTCCTCTTCTACCCTGCCTCCCTACTTTACCCTGATCCTTTATGCCTAGTTATTTTTTTTAATGGGATCTGAGATTTCAGTGGTATAGGGAATTGTTGTTCAGTCTTTTTCAGTTGTGACCAACTCTTCATGATCCCATTTGGGGATTTCTTGGCAAAGATACTAGAGTGGTTTGCCATTTGCTTCTCCAGCTCATTTTACAGATAAGGAAACTGAGGCAAACAGGGTTAAGTGACTTGCCCAGGGTCATACAGATAGTAAGTGTCTGAGGCCAGATTTGATCTCATGAAGATGAGTCTTCCTGACTCTAGGCCCAGTGCTGTATCCACTGTGCCACCTAGCTGCCTACACTCTACTCTGCCTTATGGTTTTTTTACATGTATCCTGTCTCCCTAAGCCTTTTGAGGGCAGGCACCATAGCTTTGAATTCGTTGTATCCCCACAGTATATTTCTCAGAATATACGTTCAGTGATTATTTTTTCGTAATGATGACGACCCCTACTGAGTTATTAATGTTGCCTTCATCTCTCCTAAACCCTTCCTGTCTAGCAGGTACCCTTTTCATCTAGAACCCAGGATTCCCAGCCTCTTAGTGTTCTCCCTTCCTATATGGTTCAGCTCTCCTCAAGGAGCAGGAAAAACAGCAGGGATTAACTCGTCTGTTTCTTCTTTCCAGCCCAGCCGGCCCAAGTACAAGCTGCCTCCACAAACCAACCTTCTGGCTCCCAAGCTGCAGTTCCAGGTAAATAGAGCATTATAGCATCTGCAGAGGATGTGCAAGAGAATTCAGGCTCATTCACCGCTGAATCATGCCTGAAATTCCAGCTTGGTGTTCTTAAAGAGCTGAAGTCCCTCATTAGGGTGATACAAGAAGAGATGTGTGCCTGATCTGTTTGGTTTTGCGTGGGAAACCCAAGGCAGAACTTGATTATGAGTCACCCAAGGCCCCAAGAAGGAACAGCTTGTAGTCACCATCTCCCTTCTCTCCCACCGAGTGGTGACTGGTCAGGACTGGTGGGGCCTCATGCCAGAAAGCTGGATCTTCATTCCTCTGCCCTCAGAGAACTCTCGCAATGTTTGCTTGCTTTAAGTAAATGCTGACCTCCGTTTGAGCTTTTTTCTTTTACAGCCGAGCATCTCCTATAGTAGGCATCTAGTAGCACATGAAGAAGAAGAGTTGGGTCATAGATTTGGAGATGGATGGGGACTTTGCAGCCATCTAGTATTGTTCCTTCATTCAGATAAAGAAATGGATACTGAGAGAACCTGTTTAAGGTCACACAAGTAATAAGTGATTACAAAATCATAGGTTTAAAGCTAGAAGGGACCACTGAGTCCAATCCTTCCTTTTACAGATGAGGAAACTGACGCTGGGAGAGGTTAATTGATTTACCCTTGGTCACAGGGCTAGTAAGTGTCTGAGGTAGGATTTGAACACATAGCTTCCTGATTCCAAGCCCAGCACTCATCACTGAGCCACCTGGCTGGCATTCAGATCCAGTGTTCTTTCTACTGCACCATCAGCAGCTTATAGTGTATATCACTTTAAACTTTACAAAGCACTTTTCTCTCAAAAGCCCTATGAGGTCAGCAGTGTAGACCTGTAACTGAAGAGATAGAGTGAAGGCTAATTACAAAATGGAGTTGGTTTGATGTGGGTGAGGTGACTGTGACCTTGTCCTAGGACACCAAAACTTATAAGACACTGACAACATCTGTATTCCAGCTGATAGAAACAACTGGAATTAGTACCAAATTAACCAAAATAATTAATTGCAATAAGAAGCCACTGGGTGGTGAGCTATTTTCCCAACTTTATCCCATATTAATCCCTCCTCTTATAGTGGCCTTTCCAGTTGCAAGAAAAAAAACCAAAATTTTAAATTTGAAAAAGTGTCAGTGGGGGGAAAAATAAATTGGTAGGTCTAACTTGCCCTTAGGAAGATAAAAGCTTGATTTAAGTTCATAAGTAGGTGGGACTTTATAGGTCATCTCGTCCAACCCCCTCCTTTAATAAATAGAGAAACTCATTGAGTCCCAAAGAGGTAAGTGTGCTATTTTACTTCCATTAAAATATAAGATTTTCAAAGACAGACACTGTTTCATTTCTTTGTCTTTGTAATAATGCCTTTCCAATACTGGCACAGTGCCTGGCACAAAGTAGTCCCTTAATAAATGCCCAGTGAATTGAGTCAAATTGCTCAAGGTCACACAGGCACAGGGAGTAGGCAACCTAGCTGGAATTGGACCCAAGATTCTTTGTCTCCCAATGTAGCCTTTTTCCCACCGCTCCCTGGTGCCTCCAATAAACTAATTCATAAACCAAAGTTCCATTTTATTAATTACAGTAGGAAATCATAGAATCACAAATTTTGAGTTGGAAGGGACCTGAGAACTCATCTAGTCCAGCACTCTAATTTTACAAATGGGGAAACAGAGGCCAAGAAAATTGAAATAACTTTGCTCAATCTCAAATAGGTGTCAATTAATAGGATTTGAAATTGGGTCACCCATTTCCAAAGCCCATACTCTTTCCATTATTCCAGGCCTTAAAAATAAACAAGATAACCAAGGCGAACATTTTGTTGAATTTAGAACAGTTAAAGTATTATTATTTTTTAAACTGGCTCCGTAGTGTTTGAAACCCTCAATCAAACTTTACTCTGTACCTGAACAGCCCTGGTTTACCAGGTTAAGGACTTCTATACCTGGGGGATGAAGGAAAGCTGCCTCTTAGGGGCTAAGAAAGCAGTCAGCGTCTCGTTGGATAGCATTAGGTTTCTCTGTTCTTTAACTAGGGAGAGGTAGAGATGATGTTGCTTTTCCAAGTCCATGAGGAAGTCGATGCTAAGGGTTGGAAATGGAACCTAGATACACTGACTTCTAGGCTAGGGAACTTTGACCTAGTCCCCGCTGCTTCTGAAGTGCTAGGTCAATGTAAAATGTTCTTTCTTGACTCCTAGGGACAAAGTCCTTCTCGAGAATTGTCCTGGTGTTTCCTTTTGGCTTGTGTTGGTTTTTGTGTGCGTGGCCTGCGTGCGTATGTGTTGCTGCTAACTCTCTGTTATGTACGCTTGCCTTGTTCCTGGGCCTCCTGCTGCCTTGCTTTCTCAAACAGGTACCAGAGGGTCTATGTGCCAGCTCGCCTACGCTCACCAGTCCCATAGAGTATCCGTCACCAGTTAATTCCTTGCATACCCCACCTCTCCACCGGCACAATGTCTTCAAACGCCACAGCATGAGGGTAAGAACCATCTGCATGCTGGGATTTGGCTTTTGATGCAGTTGTAACTTGCAGGAAGGAGTACGATGCCCTGTGACTTCCCACTGAAGCCCTAGGCCCTGGGGAGTGCCCAGGGCACTGAGTAGGCCTGAGGTTCTTATAGAAGGCACCTTCTAGACAGTGTGAGTACTGGAATCTAGGATATGAGCCAGCTTCTCTCAGGGACATGCTCTTTGATGTGGCCAGTTGGATGCCATCCTTCTACCATGTTGTATCTCAGTGACACAGAAGTGCCCAGGACTCTCTCTGCTGGGGCAATGGCATAGGTTCAGTGAGCAATAAACTCTGCTAAGTCAAGGAACCGGCTCCAGAGTAGCTGCTTTTCTTTGCCCTAAATGGCAAACCCTCTCCCCTCTTTCCATTGGTTACCTTCTGCTGAATTGCCCAAAGAAACCATTTCTTTGGTGTTGCTGCCTCCTGCTTGCAAGCAGTGCTATTTGTGGGGGGACTGGTGGCAATGCTGGTTTCTTAAGCAATGGTGTCGCTCAGTAGAGCCCGACAGTGGCAAAGTGACTCTCCTGTTACTTCACTTTAGAGGTATGTCATGTACAAGCTGCTTCTCTGAATACACTTGCTACAGTTCTGGCAGGTATCTTTCACAGATCCATGGAATGGTAGAGTTGGAAGGGTCCATGGAGATGATCTTGTCTAGCCCCCAAAGACATTAAAGGTAATTTTAAACACATAACAAATAACTACCAAAACTACACACCAGCCTCCTCATAAGTGGGACAAAGCAGTATCTGAGTTAGAATAAACAAATGCTAAAAGTAGCCCTAGTCTTACTAAGTGCTTGAAGATACGTTCTAGCAAAATTCCTGTGAAGAGAATTTGCTCTTGTGTTGACTTTTGTTCAAAAGGAATTGGGAGAGATTTGGGGTGGGGTAGGAGTAGGGTAAGCAAGGTGTGTGGAGGGAGGTGCTAAGTCCAAGTTTTACGTGCTGATCCAAAGAGTGTTAGCTGAGAACCAGCATCAGGGAAATCTAGTATGCCTCCTGGAAGCAATCATAGCAGGAATCAGGTTAGGATAACTTTTTAAAGGGATTGTGAAACCAGGAGTCCAGCCCACAACATCAAAGACAGGAGAGATGCCCATAGTAGGACTCAGGCTGAGAGCCGCTGTAATATGTAAGTTCCACCCAATTCACAGCTCGGCTAATTCGCATGCAATCTTAACCATTCTGTTCAAAATGTCAGTAGAGAACTCAATGGGAGAGGAAGGAAAAGCATGTAGTTCTGTTTGTCAGAAGAATCTCTTCCTGACTGGAAGAGAGAGAAACACAGGGTCTTACATCTTATATAGAGATGGAGAAAGTCAGAAGTGACCACTGTCTATACTTTTTGTTGAAGGAAATGGGAATTGAAGTGCTAGATGGAACATAAAATTGTCAGAAGCATCGAGAACCAGTTCTGGGTTTAAAAGAAAGTTTGGCAGGTGGGGAAGGGAGAGACTGGATTGATCATTACAATAGGAATTTCAGTGAACTACACATTTGACACCTCCCCCTGTAAGAAGCTGAGCTGTGAATAGGTACAAAGCACTGCGTATGAATGAAAATTAAATCAGGATTGGATTAAACTGAGCAATATTTAGGGTGCTTAACTTGAACTTCATTATTGGTTGTTTTCTGAAATCTTGATATCTTGCTCTATATTACATATCTAAGTTTATATATTTTTTAGGGTTTTAATTAAACAATGCTGCTATTTTAATGAAGAATTCTATTTTTATGGGGGAAAAAATATATTGTTGAGCAGATCGTGTGCTATTTCTACTTCTCAGTTACCTATGTCAAGTAAGAGCCTATCAGACCTACATAATCATTAATAGGGCCCATTAAGTCATCCAGTGGCAGCTACTGGAATTACAGGCATGATGTCTAAGTGGAAATTCCCTTGCATTTTTAACAGTAACAATAATAGCTGATATTTATATAATGCTTTAATCCATTAAGTTACAGCACCAGTTGGAAAACTCATTGTAAAGTAATAACCCAAATTTCCATAAGGTGACATATAACCATCTATCTTAGTTTGGGTTACACAGTGTTCTCTAATGCTACTCTTCAGTATTACAACCACACAAGCAGGTATGCGATTTCCAGAAATGCTAATAATAGGCCTATATCTGTAGCCCAACCTTTCATAACCCTAAAGCAAATAAACAAGACCAAAGTATTGCACGGGTAAAAGCAGAGGGCAGGTTGTCCTGGGGGCTCTACACGTTGTTGCTTTCCCTGCACCAAGGCCCTCTGCTGTGGCTGCGGCTTGTAGCTCTGTGGTGCTCACCCTGAGCTACCCTTCGTCAGGCCTGAGCACTGGTTCTCAGGATGCCTTTTTTTCTCCCTTTGGCCGTCTCAGGAAGAGGATTTTGTCCGCCCTAGCAGTCGAGAGGAGGCCCAGCAGCTATGGGAAGCTGAGAGAGCGAAGATGCGTCAGATCTTGGACAAGCAACAGAAGCAGATGGTGGAAGATTACCAATGGCTCAGGCAGGAGGAAAAGTCCCTGGTGAGTGGGAATTGAAATGGGAATCGGCCCCTGGGACTCCTGAGGAGCTTCTCTTATTAAAAAAAAAAAAATCACAGAATCAGAGTTGGAAGGAGTCTTGGAAATCATTTGGTCTGACTTCCTACTCGATAATAGGTACAAAGGGCTTCAGAGAGCCTGAGGGAGGGGAGAAATACGAAACTGAATCACGGACTCATAGTGTGACAAGGCTGAGAGAGACCTCAGTGACCTTCTAGTCTAATTCCTGTAATTATGTTTTATAAAAAAAAAAAAAAAGGTTTTACTGACACCTTTTGTTCTTGTATCACAGTCATTGATTGCCAGATATGCCCTCACCCCCTCCTCCAGCAAACTGTCTTTCTCATAAAGAAGAAAAAATCGCTTAAGCAAAACTGCCAACAAATTCAATGCCCAACAACTCTTGTTATGTTCCACACTCTTAGTCCCCCACTTTCCAATGAAGCGGGGAGGCATAGTTCCTCATCTCTTCCAGGGAGTCAACAACCTCATTTTACAGATGAGGAAACTGAGACCCAGAGATGTGAAGTGATTTGCCTAAGGTCACTCAGTTATTAACTGTCAGAGTGAAAACTAAAACTCAGACCTTTGGATTGCCAGTCCAAGGCTCTCTTTTCCTTTTCTCTCCTCCTTTTCTTCCTTTTCCTTTTCTCCTCCTCCTTTGCCTCCTCCTTTTCCTTTCCTCTCCTTTCCCTCCCTCTGCCTCTCCCTCTCCTCTTAATTATTTATAGTAGTAGCTAAATGACATAGTAAATAGAACTCTGGACTTGGCATTAGGAAGACTTGAGTCCAAATCTTGCCTTAGATACTTACTAGCTGTGTGGCCCTGAACAAGTCACTTTACCCCTCTTAGCTCCACTTTTCTAATTTGTAAAATGAGTACCATGCCAGCACTTACCTCACAGGGTTGTAGTGAGGATCTGGTGAGACAATATGTGAGAAATGCTTTGCAAACCTTAAAACTATATATAAATGTTAGCTATTTTTATTATTATGATTGGAATTTGAACTAGGTACTTCTTGACTCCCAAATCAACCATTATCCCTAATAATACCTCATTGCCTAATATCTAGTATCTCACTCTAAATCCTGAGCTGGCTACCTTGCTTGGTCAACCTGGGCTCATATTCCTGAGCATCCTCACACTAACCTCTGGTTACTTTCTCCCCTTCTGCTACTGCTGCCCCTGTACCTTGATATTGGGTTCTATCATTTCCTGACTCTTTCCCATTTTGATTCAACTGTCATACACCCAAGCCCAGAAGTTTGTGCTTTCTTGAATTTATTCATAAAGAAAAAGAAAGATATATAGAAATAATAATAACAGGATAGCATGGAGTAGAAAATGTATGTAAAATAAACCACTCCAGATAAAATGGTGCCCAACCTTGCTAAACTGTTCTCTATCTAAAGTCCCCAGGGCTTGGCTTAGAATTCTCCATGCCTAGAGATCCTCCTCCAGCATGCTATTCCTTTCTGACTCCCAAATGAGAAAGATATCTCTTGCTCCAGAATACTTCCCACCTAAATGGGATTGGCCCACTTAATTGCTCATCCGTTGGCTTCAATTCCAAAACTCACCCTTAACCAGTCAAGAGACCTCAGGTTTCTGCTGTTCTACTCAATATCCCCACTGTAATCCATAATTAGCCATGTCTTCTTCCTTCTAAGGGGAGGGCTAAGAAGACCTCGTAAAAGATATCATTGCAGTTGTGTCCATCACCTAAAAAATAATAAAAGATCAACTCAATCCAGCACCCACTTTGCCTCCCCATATTTCATAAAAGATTTCCCACTTTCACTCAAGTAAACTGAAGGTCTGAAATCTTTCCTTTGGTTCTCTCCTTTGTAGGACCCTATGGTGTACATGAATGATAAGTCTCCATTGGTAAGTGACAAGCCCGTGGCCCTTGCTACTAGACCCAAGACCAAGACCATGAATACTGAAAGTGTTACTATGACTACCCCAGGAGTTTAACCCAGCAGTTGTATCACCTCGAGCACAGGGGGATGACAACACTTCCCTTTCCACGTTTAACAACACTAGATCTATTCCTTTGGTAGAGCAAAAGATTCTTCTATTAATCCCAAATCTCCTTTCAAGGCCCATCTCATGGAAAACCTCCTCTAAGAATCTTCCTTGACTTTCCCCAATCAAAGTGTATGCATTTATTAAGCACTTATTAGGTACCAGGCCTTGTACTAGGCAGTTGGGTCACAAAGACAAAAGGAAAAACTACCCACCTTTAAGCAGCTTATAGTTGATTGAAGGACACAAGATATACATATAGAAATATAGAAAGAATGAATGCAGCAAAATTTGAATGTGTGCACCTACACACAGACTCTTGACTGAAAGTAATCTCTTCTTTTATCACATTTTTCAAAGCATGGCCAATCTTTGCCTTTCACATTTTGCCTTATATCACAGTTATTGTTGGTCATGTACTAGAGTGTGGACCCTGAGGGCGAGGACCATGTGTCATTTTTCATCTTCATATCCCCAGTGATGAATATAGTGGATTACACATAGTAGGACCTCAATAAATATTTGTTGAATAGAATAGGTAGCATTGAGTCCTTATTGTTCTGTCTCAGGGATGCTTAGCTTTCAATTCAACAAATATGTGTTAAGATCTTTAGGTTTTAAACTCCAGCAGGCCTAGGATGCCGTGAACGGCACACGAACACCCATGGTCAGGTAGCAATCACTCCTTGGCTCCCTAGGATTCTCCCTTGAGCTGTGGTCAGAACTGTCTCCACCTCCAGGAAAAGACAACAGGAGAGGGAAGTGGAAGGCATGTTTTTCTCAAAGCTGTATTGGTAACACTGATTTTCTTTTTCTTTCTTGTAGACCCCAGAGAAGGAGGCTGGATATAGTAAGTTTCTATTCAATCTTGTTATTCTTTTCTTAATGGGGCCTGCCATCTTGGTGCCTAGTGTCAGCGGGATCGCCTTACTAGTGACTAGCTTCAAAGATTGGTCAACCTCATTGGAATTTATAGGAACAGTTGCCTTGTTTTCATTCTTCTCATGCTCTGCTTCTGCTCTTACATAGGCCCACAGGGTATGGGAAAGAAGAATTTTTGATTTCATTATTTTTAAAGTATAATTTTAGAAAATTTGTCAGCATTCGAGGTACTTTTCAACTCGTCTTTGTCCATCATTTTCCACCCATCTTCCTTATGTCATCCTGTCCCCTTTCTCATGTGCCTGTATCTCCCTAAGTTTCCTCTTTTCTCTCATTGAGTCCTCTGTTACGGTGTTTGTTTCTCTCTTGTATTCTTTCCATTTATCTATGATTCTTTCCCCCTCTTCCTTCCTCCCTCCTTTCTCTTCTTCCCTCCTCCTCTTTTTTCGGTCTCTCTGACTCTGTCCTTTCCTCCTTCTTTCTCTCCTTCTCTCCATATATGTATAAACACACACACACACACACATATACACACATATAAATTTCAGCGTCTCACTCCCTTCTCCCCCCTTCCGTCTCTCTCTCTTTTTTTTGTTAAGCAATGGGGTTAAGTGACTTGCCCAGGGTCACACAGCTAGTAAGTATTATGTGTTTGAGGCCAGATTTGAACTCAGGTCCTCCTGAATCTGGGGCTGGTGCTCTGTCCACTGTGCCACCAACTGCCCCCACTCCCACCCCTGTCTCTCTCTTCACCCCCTTCTCTGTCTCTTTCTATCTCTCATTCTGTCACAGCCTCTCTCCTATCACACCCTCGTCTCTCACTACCAGGCTGGTGAGGGTTAAGGCATGATCCATATTCTTTTTGCCCCTGCTTGTGCTCTTACATAGGCCCACAGGGTGTGGGAGAGAAGGAAATGGGGAGAACCTGAGCTTCCTGGCCACAGAGTAGGAAAGAGAGCTACTCCCCCTCCCTTCTTTCTCTCATATCATCTGAACCTGGGTGAAAGATAAGAGGAAAACCAAGAGTAAATGGTACAGACTACTTAACTTCCACCAGAGCTTAGAGTACAGCTAGAAATCAGACTCTGAACATATTCGATCTTGGAAGAATCAAAGAAAGCATTTGGTCAAACCCCCACCTTTTCTAGATGTGGAAGCCCAGGGAGCATGTGAAAAAGAGGGCTGGGTTGGAGTCAGAAGACACATGCTTTCCCAAGCCAAGGCGTCTGATTGTTTTTTTGCCGTTTTTCTCATTTGAGTCCCATGGGCGTCTTTGCTTACTTTCCTGGAATTTAATGGAAAAGGGTAGAGGGTGGGGGAGGGTCCCTGAATTAACTCAAATGAAAAAATTAATTTCCAGACCAAAAGGGAGGGTAGATCATGGACTTGGCCCCCACCCATTTCTCCTTTTCTCTTTCTGTGGTCACAGCTGAATTCACGGGGCCTCCTCAGAAGCCACCACGACTGGGAGCTCAGGTGGGTGAGGAGTTTAGCAACAATTGGTAAACTACCTTAGGACCAGGCCTAGGAGGGACTTAGAACTATTCACTTTTCTAGACACAAGGAGCTTTAGAGATGATCTAATCCAGACCCCACATCTTAAAGACAAGGAAACTCAGGCCTAGAGAGATCATAGTGACTAGTTCCAAAAATTGGCGAACTATTGAAATTTATAGGAACATCTGTCTCATTTTTAATGCATTATTTTTAAGTATAATTTTAGAAAATTTGTCAGCATTTGAAGTAATTTTGAACTCATCTTTGTCTAGTATTTTAACATATTTTATGGATTTAAAGGTGCAAAGCACCATTTAGTCCAACTCCTGTATTTTGCACATGAGGAAACTGAGGCCCATAGAGGTTGTGACTTGCTCAAAGTCATACAGGTACTAAGTGGCATGATTTGAACCTAGGTCTTTAGAACTTCAGCCCAGTGTTCTTTCTATTATACCACAACACCTTCTTTATCAGGGGAGATGATTGAGCCAGGCGCTTGTTACTGAGCCAAGATGATTGACCAGAGAGATGACAGTGAACCAGGGGTGGGGAACCTGCAGCCTGAAGGCCACATGTGGCCCTTTGACTGAATCCAAACTTCACAGAGCAAATCTTTTTATTAAGATGACCCAAATGGGGTCACAATGAATCAGATGACCAAAATGACTGAACAACAACCAAATAACAGGCTTTAAATCTGGAACAGCAACTTCATGCAGAATGAATTCTAGGCAGCTAGGTGGTACAGTGATAGAGAACTGGACTTGAGAGTAAGGAGGACCTGAGTTTGAATCTTAACTCAACACTTATTACCTGTGTACACTTGGGTGAGTGATTTAACCTCTTGGCCTCAGTTTCCTCATCTGCAAAATGGGGAATAATATCATCTTCCTTAAAGGGTTATTGCAATGATAGAATGAGATTTTACATATAATACTATTAATTTATAAATGTACAATATAATTAATATATAAATGTATTATAGATATATAAATATATTATAAACATATAGTTTATATATAGTGTAATTATATATTATGTGATTATAAATATATAATACAATTAATATATAAATATAATTTATATTTAAATATATTTAATTACAAATATAATAATATATAAATATATATTAAAAATCTATTTAGAGAGAGATAAAGTGCTTTGTTAACCTTAAAGCACTATAAATGTTAGTTTTTTTGTTGTTGTTGTTGTTATTATCCATAATAATGGCTATTAGCCTGAGCCTGACCTTTTGTCTAAAGAAAATGCTGTATCCCCTTGAGGGAGCCATACATAATGACCTATCCCCCTTTGGATTAGGGAGGAGGCCAGCTTTCTATGGGGATTATTAGGACAGTCAAATGGTAGAAAATAAGGACTACTGGGGTCACAGCACACAACTCAGCAACCCAGCAATGGAACGAGCCATCATCAGGCCAGTCCGAAGATCAAAGCCATAAGTTTACTAGGGAGCAGATCTAGGGGCTAGGCAAGACAGTATATTAGGAATATTAGGTCTAAGATATCCCAGAAGAGTAGCAGGAACAATACCGAGAGTGGAGCCTGGGGCTATAACTACTAACAGTTTATTTGCATCATGCAAACACAAGAACCAGAATGACCATAGGACAGCCCCATTTGGCTTATGGGCCTTCCTGCCTCTGCCTTCCCCTTCCTCCCTCCCATTCATGGAAGGTAATGCAGCTGTGGGTTCAGACACCATCTTCTCTCATAGGTATTTCTTTATTTCTTCTTGACTTCTCCCCCCTCAGTCAATTCTGCCAACAGCCAACCTGGACCGGACAGACGACATGGTGTACATCAACGTCATGGAGCTGGTTCGAGCTGTCCTGGATCTCAAAAATGAACTCAGTCAGCTGCCCCCAGAAGGCTATGTTGTCGTGGTGAAGGTGGGAAACCAAGAGGGGAAACTTGGGGCAAAGTTTAGGAGGACAAGAGCCGTGCTTTAATAAAAGCACCTATTACTACCTGTGGCCTATGCAAAGACATTGCCCTTTGCCATCAAGAAGCTTGTGCCCTAGGAGGGGTGATGGTATATACATGAAGATACATTAGAATGTGTTAAGTGAATGGGAGAGATAGAAACAAAGCTCTATGTGAGATTTCAGAAGGAAAGACTTAGGGAACATTTGCTGGGGGTACATTTTCCAGTGTTGTGACTGAAGAGATAATATCTCAGCCTACTCCAGTCTAATCCAACAAGCAGAGCCATAGGTAGGAATTCCAGTACCCAGGGCAAATTTAGTTGAGGAGGGCATAAGTATTGGGTGATCCCAAGCTCCTAGAAGGAAGACAGAGGAGAGTGAATGGCAGATGAATGTAAAACATTGTGAGTTTGGAGAAGATAGGCTGAGGGAGAAGGGTGGACCCTTGAGGGCAGTATCCCATGGTACAGGGACTGCTCCAAGGTATGGGGGCAGTAGATCAGAGGACCATTCTGGGAGTAAAGCATCCCCTCACCCCCACCCCAACTGTTGGAGCCCTCAGGTAAAGTACTGATCGCTCTGCCTTACTTTTGGCCCTGCTAATCAGCATTAATTCAATATCTACTATATGCCAGACTCCATGCTAGGGACTAGGGATAAAAAGACAAAACAACAGCTATTGTTTGCCCTCAAAGAATCAATATTCTACCAGGAGTATTTGTTTTTTCCCAAGATGAATCTTAGGGTAAGTCTTTGGACTCTGATTGATGGGATATTCTACTCTCACATGGGGAAATTTCTTTCCCTAGAATGTCGGCCTAACCCTGAGGAAGCTGATTGGCAGCGTGGATGACCTTCTGCCCACTCTACCTCTGTCTTCACGAACAGAGGTAAGTTTCCTAAGTCCTGTCTGGACTGCACGCTTTGCTGTTTAGTCTTCCCCTGTCATGGGATGTGTTTATTTCCAAAGAAAGAGCCACAAGGTCCATATTAGCTTCCTTCATTCCTCCCCTGGGCCCTGGGGCTGGCCTGTCTGAAGAGCAAGCTTGGGAGGGCAGTGGTGTGGAGACAGAAATGGAGTCTGAGGGTGTTGCGTGCTCTCCAGGGACAAACAACCTGGGAAAGCTTTTTCTAAAGGTCAAGCTTCCAGTTTTACAAGTTTTTTCCTCTTTCTGCTCCCCTCTTTCCTTATCTGTAAAATGAGGGAGTTGGACCCAACTATCTCTGAGGTCCCTTCCAGCCCTAGGTCTTATGACCCATTTGTTTATGGAAATTTGATGGCTGTTTGCCTGTTCGTCCAAGGCAGGAGTGTTAATTAACAGGCTGGTGACTGATAACTATGAGAAGTAGTGAATGTATTGAAGAGTCAGTGTGGCTTAATGGATAGAGCACTGTACTTGGGCTCAGCAAGACCTGTGTGACCCTGAGTTCTCTGAGCCTCAGTTTCCCCAGCTATAAAATGAGGGTCCTAACAGCTTGTGCTTCACAGAGTTGTGAGAACCGAAGAGGATAATGTATATAAGTTGCTTTGGAGTCAGAGGACTTGAGTTCAAATCTTGCCTCTGAAACTACCTGTGTGACTTTGGGCAGGTCATTAAGTTCCTGAGACATCAGTTTCCTCATATAGAGAGTGTAAAATGGGGGGGGGTTGCCTAAGTGGTCTTGAGGTCTATGATTCCGTGATGATTATTGGACAAGTATGGAGAATTAGCAGGGTTTTGTCCTCCCAGCCTCCTGTCGCTCAGCTTTCCAGATCCTAGATTGTTCTTTCTAACCCTGCAGATTGAGGGGACACAGAAGCTGCTGAACAAAGACCTAGCGGAATTAATCAACAAGATGCGTCTGGCGCAGCAGAACGCTGTGACTTCACTGAGTGAAGAATGTAAGCGTCAGATGCTCACAGCCTCCCACACTCTGGCTGTGGATGCCAAGAACCTATTGGATGCTGTGGACCAGGCCAAAATGGTCGCCAATCTGGCCCGCCCCCCAGCCGAGTGAATGGCAGGCAGCGTCCACCGAGATGTACTGGTCCTGAATGGGGCGGCTCTCCCGCCTGTGTGCCCCAACTCCCAAATTTTGTGTCATGCATCCCCCTTCCCCTGCCTCTTGTCTTGCCTAATGATGTTTATTTTCTTAGGGGACTGGCCTGGGGGCCATTTGCACGATCTCTCCCCCTTTTCTGCCCCCTGTTCCATTAGCCCCCAGCCAGAAAAGGGCTGCCCACACCCCGCAGACTGTTAAGCCAAGAAGGCGTTTGTACATACAGGACACTGGATTGCAGAAGCTGGGATAGTAGCAATGGGAGCTTGAGGGTAGCTGCCTCCGTGCCCCTCCCCAGCCTATCCTCCCTAGCCCACCCCACTTCTTTTACATAGTGTGTTTATCAGTGGATCCCCAGTACCTGTGGAAACTGCCCTGGCTTCATGCATGGACACAGCAGCCAGTGATTGGAATTAAGCTGTTCATTCTTATATTTCTGTGATCAATTAGTGATTCCCTGGAGAACTCCAGGGTTAGCAGAGGTGCCAGTTGGAGTACAGAGGCAAGGGAGCCCTGTTCTAGGGACTGGCCTTGCGAGGATGCAGACTGAACTGATATTCTTGTATAGTGTATAGAGAGAGGGGTTTATTTAATGTATGTATTGGTCTGTCCTGACCACCATCTGTCCCAGCCAGGAATGTCCCTTGCTAAAAGGGACCCAGGACAAGCCAAGAAGAACCTGGGTGGGGAAAGGAGACTGTTAGAGTGAATAATACAAGCACTGGATCTGGAAGGTGAGAGAAAGAAGAGGCCAGAACAGGAATTCTGGCCATAATTTACCTTTCTTACCTCTCACTTTCCTTCTTTTCTTCCTCCCTCTTTTCATCTGTCTATCTCTTTCTGCCTTCTCCCTCTCTTCCTTATTTCCCTTTCATCCTCTTTTCCTCCTTTCTTCCTGCCTTTCTGTTTCCCTTCTTCCCTTCTGGCCTCCCTCCATACCTTCTTCCCTTCCTCCTTTCACATCTCCCTCCCCTCCTTCCATCCTTCCTTCCTCCCTCCATGCTTTCCTCCCTTTTCCCCTCCTTTCCTTTTCTCCCTCACTCCCTTCCTTTTTCCCTTTTCCCCTTTCTCCCTTCCTTTTTCCCTTTTCCCCTTTCTCCCTTCCTTTCTCCCTTCATCCTTCTCTCTCTTCCTTTCTCCCTTCCTTTCTTCCTTCCTCCCTCCTTCCTTTGTTTTCTCCTCTCCCTCTTTTCCTCCCTCTCCCCCCTTCTTCTTCCCTCTCCCTTCTTTCCCTTCTCCCTTCTTCCCTCATTCTTTTCCTCCCTCCTTTCCTCATTTCACCCTGCCTTTTCTCTTTTCCTCTCTCCCTTCCTCCCCTCCTTTATTTTTTGGTTGTTTCCATAAAACACTCTTCCATCTTCTTTCTATTTGATTTGTGGTTGAATTAAAAATGTACCATTTGTTTTGTGGTTGAATTGATTCCTATTCTACGCCTCCCTCCCCCCAACCTTATTCTGTGACATTTCCATTGACACTGAGCTATGCTTCTGGAAGAAATGAATTGGTTTCAATGTTCAGCGTACTTCCCTTTGCTGCAGGAGGAGGATCAGAGGGCAGACACTGGTCCTGGGTAGGGGACAGTGAAGTAGCCACAGGGTTGTTAAGGGGTTTTTTAGCTTTTGGTCCAGAGACATTTGATCAGAATGGATGGCTATAACCTGACATCAGTGTCAGCTCAGTTGGGATTCCAGGAGTTGTTGCTGGACCAGGGGCAGGAAGCAGGGGCATATGCCATCAAATAACAGTGGAAAGGAATAAAAATGCTTTGCCAAGATGGTGGGGCTTAGATGATAATTTATAAAGATACATCAGGTGAAAATGGCATCAAAATAGGCATGAGAGTTAGGCCTTTTTTGAGATCTTTTATTCACAAACCAGAAGAGAAGTCAAATATGAATGAAATCAGTGAGCAGTCCAGAATCGAGGTATAGGTAATGGGACTAGAATGGACATCCTTGGACAACTTTCTAAGACTCAGAGTTAAAGTAAAGAGTGGCACCTACCCTGAAACTTAAACTCTTAGAGAGTTGATGGAGAGCTGAGAAGTTAATTGATTTGTCCCAGGGTCAAACAGCCAGTATGTTTTGGACACAGGACTAGATCCCAAGTCTTTCTGGTTTCAAGGCTGGCTCTGTATCCACTATACTATGCCACCTTTCCACTAGACAAAGATTCCTAAAACACTAATTTCTCCACGTCACTCATTTGTTCAAACACCTGCAATGTTTTCCTTATCCTTCCAGTCCAAATTTCTCAAACTCATATTCAAGCACCTGTATTATGAACCCCCAAACTACCTTTTCAATGATGCTTCTGATTATTCTCTAACATTCACTCTCTACTCCAACCAGGACAATCTCCTTAGTGACCCAGAGTAGTTCAGTGGAGAGTGTTGGGTTTGGAAATCCTGGGTTCAAAGCTTGACTTGGCAACTTACTATCTGTATGACCTTGGACAAGTCATAACCTCTATAAGCCTCAGTTTCCTCATCTATAAAATGAAGATGTACAAGGTGATCTTTGAGGTTTAAATCTGTGATCCTATAATCCTTGCTTGTTTTCACAATAAGTTTCTATTTTCCTTCACACCAGCAATCCTAGAGTTCCTTCTGTCCACTTGCCCAAATGGTTTCTACTTTTCAAAGTCCAACTTTTGTCTTCTCCCACATCAGCCAACATTTCCAATTCTCCTCCCCTTCCATTGCTATAGATCTTGTAGTTGGTCTCATTCATTTCCCTAGTCTAATCAATACCTTGTATTGTAACTTAACTGTTCCATGTATATTTTCTCTCCCCAACTAGATTGTAAGCTCCTGGAGAGCAGGGACTACATCTTACTTTTTTTTCATGTTCCCACTGATACATAGAATAATGCTGTGTTTACAATAGGTACTCAATATTTGCTGAATGAATGAATGAAATAATCATCAGCTTCATGGCAGTCCAGATTGGGACTTTCACGATGGAATAGCCAGTGGCCTCATTATACCAACTCTCAAATGACTGGCTGAATTAGTACCTCCTATTCCCCCAGTGTCTTAGTAAAAATGCAAATATAGTTACAGATATCCAGAGAAGCTACAAGGCATCAGAAATGTCACCCATGGATCAGTTGACTTGTGCTTTTAGATCATGCCAGCTTCAAGTGGAGGAAGAAAGAGGCCAATGGTCCCAAGGAAGCAAACAATGATAAACATCCAGAGGAATATCCGGTCAATCACCATGGCAACATATTTCCAGTCTTCCTTCACCTGTGGCAGAAAACCAATGCATCATGAAAGGGGCAGAAAATTAGAGAAAGGTAACACATGAATGTTTCCCTAAATGGCAATGGGAGTAAAAGGTTAACCTTGGCCATAGCCTAGATGAGTGCCTACCATACTGGGGCCTTAGAAAGGATAAGAACTAGTGAAAGAAGGGTTCAAAAGAAGACCCCAGAAGCCAGTTTTTGTTTCAAGGAACCTCTACTATTCCAAGGCTTAAACAGCCTAACAATCTCTATAATTAATCCCTAAATTTTTCCACAAACATCTCCTCACAAACAGCTTCCACAGCTGTTCCACAAACAACCCCCACCACATCCTAGATAAGGGGTTCTTAACCACTTTGGTGTCATGAATCCCTTTGGCAGACTCGTGAAGTCAATGGACCCTTCTCAGAAATGTTTTAAAATTCATAAAATAAAATACATATGAAGGAAACCAATTACATAGAAATACAATTATCAAAACATTCTAAATAAGTTCATAAACTCCTACATTAAAAATCCCTGTCCTAAAGGCTTTGCAATTCCTTCCAGGTACAAAATTCTATGATTGTGATTTCAAGCTTTAGATGTTCCCAGTGATATTATGGTGTCATCTAGAAGCACCAATATTCCCTACTGAATGCAAATGTCGAGTTAAGAGAAATCTCTAGCTATAATCTGACATGTGGAATCAGGCTTTCAATAGTGGTACATAAAACTGAGCATTCTTCATCCTCATGAATGGTAGAGACATCACATTTCACCCAGCTATATAAAATGGCCTTATGCCTTTGGGCTATTCTGCTGTGGAGTTATTAGCCTGTGTTCAGATAGCTCTGTCATGAAACTACTGATTATTTCAATCATTCCACAAATATTTTTCAGTACCTGCTAAGCATATGACACTGTATTTGATGCCAGTAGGTATATGAGAAAATGTATGCTATGGTTCCTGCCTTCTGGAAACCTACAATCTAGTTGAGGAAATGAGACATTAAACAGGTTGCAGTGCAGGGTTGTGTATGATTGAGTACAGAAGTGGACCCCAAAGAAGGAGACTGAGAATGAAAATACCAATGCCACTGACTGAGATTCTCTTTGAAGGCAATGTGGTACAATGGAAAGAGTGCTGAGTTTGGAATGCTGGACTTGGAGTCATTGGAGATCTGGGTTTTAATTCTCGTTCTTCCTCTCATCTATGGGATCTATGGGATCACTTAAACTCCTAGAGGCTTCATTTACTCAACTATAAAACAGATGCTTCTAAGTTGGCCTGCAAGGTCTTCTTCAGCTCTAGGTCTAAGAAACTATGAAATCTGAGCTGGTGGTGCATTCCCTTTCCCCTATTCCCAACTCACCGAAAAATCAGCATCCTCAGTCCTCAGATGATCAGCAATATAGTGCACACCTTCCAAGGCTTTTTGGATGCTGGGGGGCACAAAGAATCCAGTCTCTGGTAACTGAGTCCCTGTCTTGGAACATGGAGAACCATGGTGATGGCCACAGTGACAATAGAGGGTATCAATTACTGGTGATGAATGGCCAGAAAATTCCCAGCTTTCTTCCTCCTCTTCACCCTCTTTCTCATCTACATTGGTGTCCAGCCAACGATGAGTGGTACTGAGCTTTTGGACAGGATTGTGATGCAGCTCCAGGACAGGAAGGGGCCGATTCATCCAAAGCCATCGGGGTATACAGCCCAGAAAGGCAACCCTCACCCAGTGGGGCATGATGTGGGTTCCTGGAGATCGGTGGTGAACATTGAGGACAAAGACAGTGATGACAATAGAGAGTGTGACAAAGATCATGGTGAAGAGTAGGTACTCGCCAATGAGTGGAATGACCAAGGAAGTGGAGGGAATGATCTCAGTGATGAGCAGCAGGAAGACAGTGAGTGACAGTAGGACTGAGATACAGAGGGTGATCTTCTCACCGCAGTCTGATGGCAGGTAGAACACCAGGACAGTGAGGCAGGAGATGAGGAGGCATGGGATGATGAGGTTAATGGTATAGAAGAGAGGCAACCTCCGGATAATGAAGAAATAGGTGATGTCGGGGTAGATCTCAACGCAGCAGTCATACTTCTTAGTGTTGTAGGTGCCCACAGCATTGATGATGGCCCACTCCCCACTCTCCCAGTAATCCTTCAGGTCTACCATCTTTTCCATCTGCTCAAGGTCGATCTTGGCCTTGTCATAGGTCCAGGAGCCAAACTTCATCTTGCAGTTCTGCTGGTCAAAGGGGAAGAAAGTCACATCAATACTGCAGGAGCTTTTATAGATTGCTGGGGGTGCCCACTTCACTGTGCCCGTGAAGAACAGGTGAGCCTTAGTCATGTGAGTCACTGCAAACTCCCCATCAGCACTGCAAAACAAACAAACAAACAAAAAAAAAAAAACAAAAACAAGTAAGAATTAGAAAACCATCCATACCTTCTTAGGCCAATCTTGGTTCGGAATAGCTGAATAGGGGAGGGAGGAGGCTAAAGCTCTTTCTGGCTGTGTATTTGGAGTTTTATGTAAACATTTAAGAATGCCTGGCCCCCAAATCTTCATTTTGTGCTTAACTTATATAGATATAAGGATTTGCCATTTTTATACTCAGAAAC